GCTTGCACCGGAGGAGGAGGAAGAAGAGCCCGAACCGGAGGAGACGCCCGAGGAGGCGGAGGCGAGACGCGTCCGGAACCCGTCCGCCGCGCCCACCGTCGCCGTCACGCTCGAGATCACGGACGAGGGCCAGCGCGCTCGGACGTTCAAGCTGACGCATCCGGAGTTGTACGAAAAATACGTCGAGTGGGCGAAGGAAGAGGAGGCGGCGCACGTCGCGTGGGAGGAGCTCAAGACGGCCGCGCGCGACGCGCGCGCCGCGGCGAAGGAGGCGAAGAGCGCGCTGAAGGCGGCGACGGAGGAGACGAAGGAGGCGGCGGCCACCGCGGCGGCGGAGGCGAACGCCGCCGCCGTCGCCGCGGAAGCCGCCGCCGCCGCCGCGCCGTGCACCGACGTCGTGACGCGCTGGCTCACGATCGACCCGCATCGCGTGCGGCGGTCGACGATCGACGCTAGAGGATCCGCGCACACGCGCATTAAGAACGTCCGCAGAGCGTTGGGGCGTCCGAACAACTTCGAGGGCGTCCCCGAGGAGCCGGCGGAGGACCCGGAGGCGGCGGCGGCGGCGGCGCGAGAGCGAAGACGCGAGGAAGCGCTCCTCGCGACGCGCGAAGCTCGGAGGGCGCGCTCGGACGCGCTCGCCGCGCGGCAGCGCGCGGCGAGCCTCGCGCGCGAGGAGGACGCGCTGCATCAGCGCTCGGCGTCGCTGCGGCAGTTTCTCGGCGAGGAGGTGATGCCGACGGTGACGGGGGCGCTGTTGTCGATGTTGAAACTTCGCCCGCCGGATCCGGTGCTCGCGCTGAGCGAGTATCTGCTTCGTAAGGACCGCGAGGCGGAGTTTGGGGAGGAAGCGGAGAGGCAGAGCGCGAAGGCGATCGAGCGGGCGGTGTACGAGGAGGCGAAAGCCGCGGAGGCGGCGGCGAAGCTGGAGATTTCGAGGAAGAAGGCGGAGGAGGCGAGGCGCGCCATCAAGCCTCGGAGCGTCGTCCGGGTGGTCCCGAAGTTGCCGCCCAAGACGTTGAGACCGCCGCCTTCGCCTTCCGAGGTTCCCGAGGGCGGCGGAGGCGAGGGCGGCGGCGAGGGCGACGAGAACAGCGGCGAGCCCGTCGCGGCGCAGCCCGAGCCCGTCGCCGCGTGATGTGAGCGCGCGACGACGCACAGTGTACGTCTTTAGCCGTTGGTATACCTTATTAACGCTCGCCGCTCGCTACTTTTCTCGTCACACCTTCATCGCGTCGACGCCGTCCGCGGCGCACTTCGCGAGATACTTCTCGTGCTCCTTCTTCTGCGCGGCTTGAAACTTCGCGAGCTTCTTCCGCTGCGCTTTCGCCACCTCCGCGCCGTCGGCGAGGTGCGTCGGGACGCCGTCGTCGTCGTACTTTGAATACGTCCCCGCGTGCTCGCCCACTTTGAACATCTCCCCGGGGGGTATCTTCGCCGCCTCTTCCTTCTCGCGCAACTTCCGCGCGGCTTCCTCCTTCTTGACGCGCAACTCCTCCGCCTTCTTCGCCTTGGCCTCCTTCTCCCTCGCCGCCTCTTTCTTCAGCTCCTCGACGCCGTAGAGTTTCCACAGCGCGCCGCCGTCGGCGCGGTCGTCGAGCTTCACCCCGAGCGTCGGCAATCCGTCGTCCCTCAGCGCGTCGCACGCCGCCATGAGCGCGCTCGCGTCCGCGCCGCTCTTCGCGAGCGCGCGGATCTCGTCGCGGAACTTCACGATGAGATCGAGCGCGGGGGCGAGGGTCTCTTCCTTGCCGGCGCCGGCGCCGGCGTCGCCGTCGCCGCCGCCCGCGTCTCCGCCGACGTCGCCGAAACCGACGGCGCCGCCGCCGCCCGCCTCCGCGACGCCGAGCGTACTCAAGATGGTCGTCACGAACTGCGCAGCCGCGGACACGATCAGCGGCCGAACGTCCTCCTTCGCCGTCTTCCCCAAGTACGCGTTCGTCGCGCTGACGAGCTCTTTCAACGCCTTGATAACCGCCGGGGTGTTGACGTTATCGATCATCGCCGCGTGCGTCGCGGCGCGCGCGACGTCGACGGCGTCGGACAACGCGCGCTCGTTCTCGTTCCACGTCTGCGCGCGATTCGCGTCGTACCCGCCGGGACCAGAGTTACGTAACACCCCTTTCACGGCGTGGAAGAACTCCGCGAACGTCTTCTCCGCGATCACCGCGGCGTCCATCTGTTTAAACCCGACGCACGGCGCGTTCCCCGACGCGTCCACCGCGTCGCCAAACGCGGGGGTCAAATCCATGGGGTCGCTCCACTGGTGAAGCAGGAACAAAAACCGCAGCTGCCGCGCGGTGTACATCTTCAGCGCGGCGCGTATCGTGATGAAGTTCTTCAGACTCTTCGACATCTTCAGCCCGTCGATGTGCAGGTGACCGCTGTGCACGAAGTAATTCACCCACTGCTTCACGTCGTAAAACGCCTCCGACTGCGCGAGCTGATTTTCGTGGTGCGGAAAGTTGAGATCGATCCCGCCGCCGTTGATGTCCACCGCCTCGCCGAGGACGTCGCTGCACATCGCGCTGCACTCGATGTGCCACCCGGGACGCCCCTCGCCCCACGGGCTCGCCCACGACGGCTCCCCGGGCTTGGACGCCTTCCACAGCACGAAGTCGTGCGCGTCTTTCTTCTCGGAGGCGTCCGCGGCCAACGCGCCCTCGCCGTCCATCGCCGCCTCCACCTCGTCCTCCGCGAGCGCCGCCTTGTTCAGCTTGGCGTACTTGTGATTCGCGTCCTTCTCGAACGTCGGCACGTCGAAGTACACGCTCCCGTTGCTCTCGTACGCGAACCCGCGGTCCACGATGCGCTGAATGTACGAAACGATCTTGTCGACGTATTCGCTCACGCGCGTCAGCGCGTCCGGTCGCATCACGTTCAGCGACGCCATGTCGCCCATGAACTCGTCCTCGAAGCGCTTCGCGAGCGTCAGGTACGCGTCCTGGATGCTCCAGCTCTCGTCGACGACGGGGCCCGAAGAAGAATCGGACTCGCGCGCCTTGGCGTTGACCGTCGCGGCGAGCGCGGCGGATAGCGCGCTCTGCTCGCCGAGTTTTTTCTCCCCCGACGCCAGCAGCGCCTTCAGCGCGATCGCGGACGGCTCCGCGTCGAGCCCGCTCGCGCCGAGCGTCTTCTCCGCGAGCGCGAGGACCTCTTCGGAGCGGCGCTGATGCGCGCGCATGACGATCTTGTCGTCGATGTCCGTCACGTTCATCACGAACCGAACGTCGTAGCGGAAGTACTCCGTCACGACGCGGCGCAAGACGTCGAAGTTCACGTAGTTCCTCGCGTGTCCCATGTGCGCGCTGTCGTACACCGTGGGTCCGCATATGTACCACCCGACGCGGTTGCCGTCCAGGGGCACGAACGGCGTCTTGGTCTTCGTGAACGTGTTCATCAGCCGCGGGGTCTCGCGCGTGTGCGTTCGCGTCATCATCGCGGCGGCGTCGGGCTCGCTCCACCACGGCGTCGGGGCGCAGCAGCCGCACGCGAGCGGCGGGCCGAATCGCGGGTAGGCGTCGGCGGTCGGTCCGGACATCGCGGAGGAGGAGGAGGAGGAGGAGGAGGAGGAGGAGGACGGGGAGGAGGACGCGGCGCGGGTTGGTGTCTTCGATGTGGGCGTCTGTCGGCGGCGCGCCGGCCGCGCGCGTCTCTGACAGGACGACGAGGCGTCATCGCGATCTCGGACCCTAAGGGTCGTTCCATACAAAAATAGTTCACCGGTCAGTTGAAAGGAGGCGCGATCAAGTGTTGAAACCAAGCTATGGGTGAAAAACTTTTGTAGAACGCATCTAACAGACCTAGACCTAACCCTAAAGTTTGACGAGATCTAGACAGATTCGGTGCCGACTGGCGCGCCGCCTCCGGCCATACCCCCCAGCGCGACGCGCCGGGGGGGGGCACGCGCGTCGACATGGAGCCGCCGCCGTCCGCGCCCGCGCGGATCGACCGCGACGGCCTCCGCGCGGCGCTGCACGCGCTGTACGTCACGCGCGACGCTTCTTCGCGCGCGGCTGCGGACGCCTGGCTCCAACGATTTCTTCGCAGCGACGAAGCGTGGCCCGTCTCTCTCGCGCTCCTGGGCGACGACGCGACGTCGCCGCGCGGCCTCGACGCGCTCGAGGCGCTCTTCTGCGCGCGCGCGCTCCACGTCCTCCTGCGCCGGTGCGTCTTCAAGACGGAGAAGACGCAGAAGAGCCACGTCGCGCTGGACGAGCGCGCGCTGGGCGACGTGCGCGACGCGGGGCTGCTGCCGATGGCGTGGCGATGCGCCGCGCTGTGCGCGACGCACGACCGAGGCGTGGGGGGGGTCGGCGGAGGATCGGCGCGGGGCGGCGGCGCGGATTCGGCGTCTTCGGCGCCGCCGCGGACGATCCTGACGCAGGTGTCGCTCGCGATCGCCGCGCTCGCGTGCAAGATGGCCGCGTGGGAGGGCGACGCCATCGCGCGCGATCTGTGCGCGTACTTCACGCGGCCGCCGGCGTCCGCGCCGCCTTCCGCGACGCGCGTCGTCGCCGCCCTCCTCGATCATCGCGACGTCGACGAAACCGTCGCGGACGCGGGCGCGACGTGCCTGCTGCAGACGCTGTCCGTGCTCCCGGACGAGTGTCAGAGCGGGAGGCTGTCGATACATCCGGCGCGGCGGAGAGAAGTGATCGACGGGCTCCGAGCCGCCGCCGCCGCCGCGGTCTTTCCGACGCTCGACGCGTTGACCGGACGGCTGTCAGCAGCCGCGATGTGCGTGAACGACGCCGGGTCGAGCGGCGGCGTCGACCGATCGCGCGACCGAACGACGGCGTTGTTATTCGAAGCGTACGCCGCTTGGGCGGCGTTCGCGCCGGACGCGGCGGGCGCGGTGCGTCCTATTCGTCACACTGGTCCCCATACGACCGCTTGGCGTTGTGAACGCCGTTCATTCCTTAAGGACTTTTCCCGGTGTCTCTCTCCGCCCACACCACGGTTTCAATCCCCGCATACGATACCTTTCGACTCCACCTGACGCGCCTTTCAACTCACCACCCACCCCGACATTCGTCGCTTCGTCGCAGTGTCCGTCCGAGACGCTCGCCGCGGCGCTCGGCATCCTCGCCGCGAGCGACCGCGACGCGCGCGCGACGTTCAGCGACCGCACGCTCGTCGCCGCGGTCGCCGCCGCGAGCGCGGGGACGGCGAACGCGGTGCATCGCGCGGAGCGACGCGAGGCGCTGAGCGCGGCGGCGGCGGCGATGCGCGCGCGATGCGGAGGGGGCGGCGGCGCGGAGGGCTCGGCGAGGGCGGTTGAGGTGCTGTCGAGCGTGTGCGAGGCCGCGCGGGCGTCGCCGCCGGGGCCGCCGCCGCCGCCGGATCCGCTGGGGACGGGGAAGGACGCCGCGCCGGACAGGACGTACATTCCGTACAAGGAGTTTGCCAAGCTGAAGCGCGAGCGGAGGAAGAGCGCGAAGGCGGCTGGCCCGACGGGCTCGACGGGCGGCGGCGGAGGCGGCGGCGACGACGACGGCGGCGGTCTCTCCCCGCGCGCGGACTTGGAGGTGCTGTGTTTCTGCCTCGACGCGCTCTCCGACGCGCTCGCGCGCGGCGTCGCGTCCCCGGCCGCGGCGTTGGCGCCGTGGACGGCGATGCGAGAGGGCTCGGACGCCGGCGGGGGCGGCGAAGAGAAACATCAGGCTGCGCGATCGCCGGCGGCGGCGACGGCGATGTTGGCGTGCGCCGCGCGCGCGGCGCACGCGGCCGCGATCGCGGTGCGACTCCCGAGCGCGTCCGAGAGAACCGATCACGGGGATAAGTACGACGACGAGCACGCGGACGCCAGAGAGGAGCTCGGCGAGGGCTTGCGCGACGTCGCCGGCGTCGTCGGCGCGGATGCGTTTTTCTCGAGCGTCGCCGTGCGAGGGCTCTCCGAGACACTTCGGGGCGGCGGCGACGCTTCGTCTTCGTCGAATCTCGCGAATCCATCGAATCTCGTCGGCGGGTGGACGCACGTCCTGTTCGCGACCGCGCGCCTGTGCACGCCGCGCGGGGACCCCGCCGCGGTCGCGGTCGCGGTGGACGTCCTCGGCGACGTCGCGCGTCGCGCCGCCGCCGACGCCTCCGCGGCGCGCGTCGCGGAGCTCGCGACGTGGGCCCTCGGTGGACTGAACAAAGCGATGCGCGCGCAGCCCGTCGGCGTGCTCGCGCGCGCGTTAGACGCCGCGGTCGCGTGCGCGGGCGCGCGAGACGTCGCGACCGCGCGCGCGGCGTGCGTGACCGCGATGCGTCTGTGCGAGTCATGCGCGCGCGTCCTCGCAAACGGCGACGAAAGCGCGTCGCTCGAGGACAACGCGCGCGCCCAATCGGCGCTCGCCGCGCTCGCCGCCGCGCACGCGTCCGGCGGCGTGATGGCGCCGGCGAATAGCGCGTTGCGCCGCGGGCAAGAGCCCGTGCGGGTCATCTTATGCCGCGCGCTCGCCGCGGTCGCCGCCGCGCGCGCGCCCGCGGCGGCGGCGGAGGTGAGACTGCTTCCCATACGACCCCGTTCGCGTGGTGCACGCCGTTCCTTAAGGACTTTACCCGTCGTCACTCTTCACCCGCGCTTCCCTTTCAACGTTTGACCGGTAAGACGTTCGACTGACCGATCGCTTCACCCACGCAGGCGGCGACCGCGGGGCTCGCGGCGGCGGCGATCGTCGCGGCGTCCAACGCGGCGGCGACCGCGATCGACGTCGCGCGCGGCGTCGGCGCGGCGCCGACGACGGCGGGGATCGTCGCGACGTTGGACGCGACGCTGGACGTCGTCTTCGCGCTGACCGAGACGACCGTCGCGATCGAGGCGTGCTTGAAAGCGACACGCATCATCACGAGGGTCGACGGCGCCGCCGAAATAAACGCGATGACCTCGCCGCCGGGATTGGGGTCGACCGCGAGAGACGTCATCGAGCGCGCGCTGCTTCCCGCGCTCGAGCGCGCGCTCGACGCCGCCGTCGCGGTGACGCCCGCGCACGTCCACGCCGGCGGCGGCGTGGATCGCGTCCGGGACATCACGCGCGGGTGCGCTGACGCGCTCTCTTTGATCGTCGGAGAGAGCGCGCGAAACCCCGCGGCGCGCGCGTCGCTCGGCGCGTGCCTCCGCCTCGCGCTCGACGCGTACGTCTCGTCGCCGGAGACGCGCGCGGCGTTCCTGGGCGTCTTCGTCTGCGCGCTGTCGCGCGTCGGCGACGCGCCGCTGCCGCTGCCGCTGCCGCTGCCGGCGGGGGTGGGCGGGCTGTGGGCGGAACACCGATCGCGAGTCCTCGCGACGGTCGGCGGCGTCGCCGCCGCCGCCGTCGCCGCCGCCGCGTCGAGCGGCGTCGCCGGTCCGCTGACGACGCGCTGCGACGACGACGACGCGCGCGTCGCCGCGCTGACGCTGTGCCGCGCGCTCCTGCGCGTCGGCGCGAGCGACGCGGCGCCGATCTTTTCTTCCATCGCGACGGTCGCGCTCGAGGCGTTACGCGACGGCGCGAGCGGCGACGTCGCCGTCGCGTCGCTCGCGCTCGCGTCCGACGTTCTCTCCGCGCCGGCGATGCTGTCGCCGTCGCGCTTCGCCCCCGACCGATCGCCCGAGTCCGCGGCGGCCGCGTCGGCGGTGCACCCCGGGATGGGGCGGCTCGCGTCCGGGATGAGCGACGCGACGTCGCGAGGGTCGCACCTGCCGCGGTGGGCGCGCGCGGATGATCTTTCGGCGGCGACGCTCGCGGAGGTGAGACTGCTTCCCATACAGTACGACCCCGTTCGCGTGGTGCACGCCGTTCCTTAATTAAGGACATTCCCCGTCGTCACTCTGAGTCACCCGCGCTTCCCTTTCAACGTTTGACCGGTAAGACGTTCGACTGACCGATCGCTTCACCCACGCAGGCGGCGCATATTCTGTTGTCCGACGGCGGCGCGGCGGCGGCGTTGACGCGCGCGCAGCTCGAGTGCGCGAACGGCGTCATGATCCCCGGATTAGTCACCGACGTCGCGGCGTCGATGTTCGCGGCGTGGGCGGCGAGTGGAGACGCGACGTATATGCGCTGGTTGAGCGACGCGCTGGGGGGCGACGGCGACGGGTTCCCGCGGAGAGGGACGACGGCGGCGCAGAAGGGGGAGTTTTCGCGGGCGCTGCTGGCGCAGCCGCCGGCGCCGGGCGAGGGCGAGGGCGAGGGCGGCGGCGGCGGGATCGGCGGGAGGGATCTCGCGGGCAGGTTGGCGAAGATGGACCTTCGCAGGTTTAAGCGGACGCTGAAGGCGTTCTGCGGGGGGAAGAAAGCCGGTCCGGGCGGCGGCGGCGGCGGCGGCGGCGAGTGAACTTTTGATCGAGGGGAGAAAAAATAGCGCCGCGTCGATCCCGCTCGTCGCGTCTCGTCTCGTCCTAGACTATCTCTCGCTAAGGCGCCTTACCGTTCCGACGTGGAATATTCCTTTTCTCCTCTCCGCCGCCGCTTCAGAGCACGCGCGCGCGCGCTCCGTCTCGCACGCGTCGCCACGATGACGCGGTCCTCCTCCTCCTCCTCCTCCTCCTCCTCCTCGCGCCACGCGGTCCTCGTCCTCTTCGCCGCCGCCGCGCTCTTCGCCGCCGCGGCGTCCCCCGTCGCCGCCGCGGACGCCTCGCTCCTCTCTCGCCGGCTCCTGCAGACGCCGCCGTCGCTGACGCAGTGTGCCGTCGGCGTGCGCGAGTGCGACGGCGACAAGCACGCCAAGGCGGCGGAAAAGGCGAAGAAGGCTGGCGACCCAACCCCGGCGTGCGCGTCCTACGACGGGACGTACGAGGACCCGCAGCGGCTCACCTGGGTCGTCGCCGTCGCCGCGGTGCGTCGCGGCCCTCAAAACAAACCGGGTTCTCATCTCTCCTTCCCTTTCAACGCGCGCGCGCTGATAGGCTGACGCGTCGTCCTCCACCGCGTTTCATCGACTCGACTCGACTCGACTCGACTCGACTCGACTCGACTCGACTCGACTCGACTCGCGCAGGTGGTCGGGTTCGTGATGTGCTTCGGCATCGGCGCGAACGACGCGGCGAACAGCTGGGGCACCTCCGTCGGCAGCGGCGCGATCTCGCTCACGCAGGCGGTACTCTTGGGCGGCGTCATGGAGTGGCTCGGCGCGCTCGGGCTCGGGTACGGCGTCGCGAAGACCATCAAAGGTTGGTTTTGTTTTTTGTTTTGGTTTTTTGGTTTTTTGGTTTTTGGTTTTTCATCGCGCCGCCGTTCGTCGACCGCAGGCACGAGCAAAACCGACGACGCGTCGTGCTGGGCGTGCGGGTACTGCGACAGCGAGATGTCCCTGTACATGGTCGCCATGACCGCCGCGCTGTTCGCCGCGGGCGTGTTCCTGATCCTCGTCACGTTCACGGCGATGCCAGTCAGCACGACGCACGCCATCGTCGGCGGCACCGTCGGTGCCGCCGCCGTCGGCGCCGGGTGCGCTGGCGCGGTTCCCGGACTCGCTCGCTCGCGCGCGGCGTGATATCTTTTCGACGCTCCACTCAAACAGACTCGACGCGAGCGTTACTACTTTGGTCTGCTCACTCCCCGCGACGTTTCATCTTCCCCCCCCCTCCCCCTCACCCCCCCGCCCCCGCGTCGCCTCTTCGTCAGGTGGGCGTGCTTGAACTGGGACTTCGACGGCGGGCTCGCCGGGATCATCGCCTCCTGGGTCATATCCCCGATCATGTCCGGCTGCGTCGGCGTGATCATGTACTGGCTCACGCATCATCTGATCGTCAAGGCGCGGCTCGGCGGGGGTCCGAGGAGGTGCGCGCTGATCGGTCAGCCGATTCTGTGGACGACGCAGACGTTCGTGATCGCCTTTTTGATCCTGCTGAAGGCGCAGCCGACGAAGAAGTGGGCGTACTCCCAGATGGCGTGGGTCGCCGCGATCGCCGCCGCGTGCGTGTTCGTCCTCGTCCTCGCGTTCTTGAACCCGCACACGCGGCGGCAGATGCCGTCGATCCGCGCGAAGCGCCCGAGGAAGGCGTCGTCGTCGCCGTCGCCGCCGAACGGCTCGCCGTCGCGGGCTTTGCTCCGCGTCAAGTCCATCGGCGACGGACTCGGGCGGTTCCTGAACAAGGTCACGACCGGCGGCGGCGACTACAACTCCGACGTCAACAACGGCAACAGCTCGACGCGACCGCTCGCGCCGCCGCCGACGACGTCCGAGGACGCGATCGAGCGCGAAGACGCCGCCGCGGCCACATCGCCGACGCGTCATCATCACTCCGGGGAGATCAAAAAGGCGCGTGAGACTGCTTCCCATACAACCCCGTTCGCGTGGTGCACGCCGTTCCTTGAGGACTTTTCCCGTCGTCACTCTTCACCCGCGCTTCCCTTTCAACGTTTGACCGGTAAGACGTTCGACTGACCGATCGCTTCACCCACGCAGGCGCTCAAAGAAGCCGCGCACGATATCATCAACCCCTCCCCGCGCGAACGCGCGCACTCCAAGGCGTCGTTCCTCGCGGAGTCCGCGCAGTTCACCGCGGATGAGTACGGCAGAGGCATGAGCGAAGAAGAAGTCGACGCGACGTTCATGTTTCGATACCTCCTCGTGTACACCGCGGCTTTGGAGTCGTTCGCGCACGGCGCCAACGACACCGCCAACGCCACCGGCCCGTTCAGGCGCGTTCGACGGTCGTCGCACTGGTCCCCGTACGACCGCGTTCGCGTTGTGAACTTCATTCCTTAAGGACTTTCGGGTCCCTTCCGCGCGCGTTTCTCTCCGCCCACCACCCTTCGGTTTCGATCCCGACACACCTACGGTGCGACGCCTTTCGACTCGGTCTCACGCCTTTCAACTCCACCCCGACGCCTTTCGACTCGCGCGGACCCTCGACCCTCAGCGCGGTCTACCTGTCATATACGCACGGGCTGGACGACTGCTCGAAGCCGCAGACGCCGGCGTGGATCATGGCCGTCGCCGGGTTCGGGGTCTTTCTCGGCGTCACGACGTTCGGGTATCGCGTCATTCGCACGATCGGGAAGGAGCTCACGGAGATCAACTACCAGCGCGGGTTTTGCATCGAGTTCGCGTCGACGCTCACGGTGGTCGTCGCGACGGTGCTCGAGATGCCGGTGTCGACGACGCACTGCCAAGGTACTCACTACGCGCGCTCCTCCCGACCGCGCGTTTCGCATCTACACATCTATACGATTTGATTTTGTTTTGACCAATCGCGCGCGTCGACGACTGACACGTGTCTTGCTCTCTCGCGTCGCAGTCGGCGCCGTCGTCTTCGTCGGCGCCGCCGCGTTCGGACGCAAACGCGTCGCGTGGGGCCTCGCCGGGAGGATCGCGCTGACGTGGGTGCTGACGCTGCCGTTCGCGGGGCTCGCCGCGGCGGCGGTGACCGCGGCGCTCAGACCCGCGATCGCGACGTGACGGGCGAGCGGTCGGTCGATCGGGAGGGAACGAGGGAACGAACGAAGGAGGGGACGACACGAACGAACGAAAGAATTTTTCCGACAGATAAAACTCAGTGACGCATGACGTGGCGTCGACGCGCGCGTCTCGCCTCACTCCGCGCGTCGCCCGATGCACGCGCTTCGCGCGCTCGCGTCTTCGCAGTTCGCATCCGCCGCGCGCCGCGTCCGCCGCGCGGCGTCCTCGTCGTCGTCCTCGCTCGTCGCGTCGTCGGCGTCCCCCGCCGCCGCCCCCGCGCGTCGTCGTCGCCGCGCGTCGTCGTCTCCGCGTCGTCGCCCGTCGACGTCGTCGTCGCCGTCGCGTCGCCGGCTCCTCGTCGCCGCGGCGTCGTTCTTCGCGACGCTCGCGCCCGGCCGCGCGTCCGCGGCGCCGGACGCGTCCTCGTGCGAACCACTCGGGAAGTCCTCATCAGTCGCGATGCGCGCGGCGGGAGGCGGCGGCGTCGGCGGCGGCGACGACGCGTCCGCGTCCTCAGAGATCCTCGACCTGTACCCCGGAACCGCGCTGACGCGCATGGAGAACGCGCGCGATCGCGCGGCGTCGCTCACGGAGGACCAGCTCTCCCGCGACTGGTCCTCCGTGCGCGCGCTCCTCCTCTGGGCCGCGGGCCTGCGCGACCTCACGGACGTCGCGCCGGGCGCGGGGAACACCGGTCACTGCTTCAACGACTTCAATCACGTCGACGCGACGACGATGTCGCTCTCGGTCTCGGACAACGAAAACCGAGGCCAGGTGTCGGGCATCGCGTTCGGGAACCGGCTCGGACCGGGCATCAAGGTGGCGTCCGACCCGGACCTCGGCCCGGGTGGGTCGTGGTGCACGTGCGCGCAGGGCGGACGGAGCGAGCCGCCGGAGGACGTGGCGCATCTGCAGTTTCGCTCCGCCATCGCGTGGAAGTTAGGCGCGTTCTATCTCACACTGGTCCCCATACGACCCCGTTCGCATGGTGAACGCCGATCCTTAAGGACTTTTCCCGGCGTGTCTCTTCGCCCAGGGTCCCTCGCTTTCAATCCCCGCCCGCGATGCCTTTGAACTCCATCTGACGCCTATGAACTCCAACCCGCCATCGCTTTGTATGGAATGGCCCTCAGTGTGGGTGCCGTTCGGCGGGTTCTCTCGGTTCGTCCTCGTCGACGACGCGGGCGCGCAACTCGCGACGGGGGTGCCGACCGGGCCGGGGTTGCCGTCGCAGAGAGAGAGGGAGATGAACTACGAGATACTGCGCGGGGGGAGGTACGCGCGCGCGGCGGACGCGTACGCGGCGGCCGGCGCGAGGTGATGAGAAGATAGAGGGAGTCCGCGAAATAATGAAATGAAAATGAAATCGTCGTCGAAGAGCTCGCGCTCGTCTCCCTCTCCCAGCCTTCTTCTTCGTCATCCATCATCTAATACGTCGTCTCGTACTTCCTCGAGCCGTCCTCCGCGCAGCACCACTCCCCGAGCTGGATCGCCTTGTCCGCGTCCGGCTTCCACTTCGCGCTCCACGCCGTCGCGCTCCGCGGCTTCCCCTCCAAGAAGGGCGTCACCGAGGTGAAGTGCAACACCTTCGAACTTCGCACGCCCGCGATGGACGCGCTCAGCTCCTCGAACGTCATCGGGTCGACGATCCCGGAGATCTTGACGAGCGCGCGGCGCTTCACGATGGACGCGTCGTGGAGCACGCCGAACCACCCGCACGCCTCCCTCTCTCTCGTGACCCCGCCGTCGCTTCCCCCCGCGTCGGCGCCCGCGCCGGCGCCCGCGACGCAGTAACTCAAGTTGAGAGGCATCGGCGCGTCGCCGAACGAGCCCTCCATCAGGTCGTTCTCGACGATCGCGACGCTGCGCTTCACCTCCTCCGGAATCTCCGGGTGCGTCAGAAACGTCGCCTCCCTGAACTTGCTCGCGTCCGACTTCTCCAAGTCCACGACGTGATCCAGAGGGCACACGAACGGGAGCTCGAACCTCGACCCTGGGAACCTGCCGTAATGCGGAAACCACGCGCGGTCCAACCCGCACAGCACCGGCGGCATGATGAGCACGCGGTTCAGCGCCTGCGCGATCGCGAACGCGATCTTCATCTGCTCCAGCTGAAACTCCACGAGGTCGAAGTGCGCCTCCACGAGCTCGTCCTTGGTCGCTTTGATAGTCGGAAACGTCTCGTCCGTCGCGGCGGGGAACCCGCGCTCTCGAAACCACGTCATGTTCACGACCCTCGGCACGCGCGGCGTGTAGCTCATGTACCCGGACTTGGGCTTGTTCTCCTTGTTCGCGAGCGGGCCCGCGCCTTCGCCGCCGACGAGGTCAAAGTACCCGCGGGCCGCGTCCCCGAGCCACGCGTTGGCCTCGCGCATCCGATGCCGTTTCCCCGGCGTGCCTCCGAATTGAAACGTGTTGTGCACCGCGAACGGCGCCTTCTTTCGCTGGCTGTGCGTCCGCTGCGCGTGGAACGTGTGCCCGTTGCCAAACTGCGACACGGGCAGCGCGCCGAGGGTGACGGTCCCGTTGTACGCCTTGAGGAGGCCGTGCGCGTCCGGCGACGACTGACACGCGCCGCCTTTGGATTTCAAGTCGTTGAACGCGTTTTGGTCCCACACGGATTCATCCGCCTCGATCGTCTTCACCCACTCCTCGGTCAGCGCGCGCGAGCCGGGGGTGGGACGGAAGAACATGATCCCGATGTTGGACGCCGCGTTGCACGGGTGCGAGTCCAGGCCGTCGTCGTCGTCCGCGTCGTCCGCGACGGCGGCGGCGTCGGCGGCGGCGTCGGCGGCGGATTCGATCGTTTTCAACGTCGTCTTCTTCGCGGAGTCCCCCCCGCTCGCCGTCTCTGATGAACGAAGCACGTCCGACGACACGAGCATGTCCGCGGTGGGATACCGTTTAAAATACGGCAGCGGGTCTCGCAACCACGCGACGTCGATGTCGGATATCAGCACGCTGACGCCCTCGACTTTCGTGAAGTCGCGAATGAGCCGAATCTTATCCCGGCCCATGCGATGAAAGTTGGCGCTCCCCCACCCGAAGTCTTCCTTCACGACGTCCTTCTGGATCCCTCGAGACCCCATGAGCCACGTCGGGACTTTCAGCTCCTCCATGCGCGCGTGGAGGCTCTCGTCCATGGCGCCGACCATGTAGTTTTGGAGGCCGAGGGACTTGAGACGCGCGCACCAAAACTCGGCGAAATCGCGGTAGTGATCGTTCGCCCACGTCACGATCACGACGCCGTCCACCGCGACGGACTCGATCAGCGTCTTCGTGATCCCCGTGCTCAATCGCTCGTTCCCGGCGTCGTCGTCCTCGTCGTCGAGCGCGGCGTCCGCGTCCGCGCGCGGGGACGCGTCGAGCTCGCGCGACATGTCGTCGTACGGGTCGTCGTCCGCGCTCCGGTCGACGCTCTTCTTTTTATCGTTCGACGCGCCCGCCTTCGCGTCGAGGCGCGGCGCGGCGTTCAGGACGCGGCGCCATAGCGACGGCGGCTTGGACGCGGCGGCGGCGGCGGCGGAGGACGCCGCGTTCGCGCACGCGAGGAGCGACGCGAGGAGCGCCGCGAGGAGGAGGAGGAGGGGGCGTGCGCGCGCCATGAAGATCTGAATGACGGAACCCTTCTTTTTTTTTTTTTTCGTCGCGAGCCTCTCAGCTCTTTCTCGCTCTCGCGCGTCATCACAGATGACGAACGGTGGAGAGGCGCGCGCGGCGCACACGTCGCGGCGCGCCTCGCGTCCGCGCACGCGCGCGCGATGGTCGCGTCGACGATGCCCGGCGTCGTTCGCGGCGCGAACGCGCGGCCGAGGGCGCGCGTCTCGTCGTCCGCGGTCGCGCCTCGCGCGACGACCGCGCCCCCCCCGCGAACGACGAGACGCGCGATGATGATGAGCGCGCGAGCGCGAGCGTCGCGATCGTTAACATCGTCGTCGTCGCGCCTAGGAGGCGGGACGCGACGAAGCCCGCCGCGCCCCGCGCGACCCGCGGTCGTCGTCGCCGCGCTCGCCGACGACGACGCCGACGACGCCGCGATCGCCGCGGGGGCGTGGAGGGAGACGACGTGGTTCGCGCGCGCGACCGCGGCCGCGGAAGAGATGAAGAACGAGGAGAAGGAGGACGATCTCACACTTCGTCCCGTCGCCGTCTCATCGTCGGACGACGCGCTCCCGCTCGGGATCGACCTCCCCGCGGCGGCCGCCTCCGTCGCGATCGGCCTCGCCGTCAAGTTCCTCCTCCCGTGCCCCGCCGAGCTGAGCTCCGAGGCGTGGTCGCTGCTCGCCGTCTTCGCCGCCGCCGTCGCCGGCTTAGGCAAGTCGCACTGGTCCCCATACGACCGCGTTCCAATGAAACAACGTCCACGTCATCAAACGACTAACCAATCATATCACTTCCCGCCACGTCGCCCACCAATCAAACGCCCCTCCCTCAGTCCTGAAGCCCGCCCCCGTAGGAGCGTGGGCGTTCATGTCGCTCACCTTCGCGGTCGCGACGAAGACGCTCTCGTTCCAGGACGGCCTAGCCGCGCTGACGAACGAGGTGATATGGCTCATCGTCGTCGCGACGTTCTTCGCGCGCGCGTTCGTCAAGACGGGCTTCGGCGACAGGCTCGGGTTGTCCTTCGTGCGCGCGTTCGGGAAAAACACGCTCAGGCGCGTTCTATACACTGGTTCCCATGCGACCCCGTCGGCGTGGTGAACGCCTTTCGACTCCGCTTCTGACGCCTTTCAACTCCACCCCGACGTCGCTTTGAATGGACCCTCGACCCTCAGCCTCGCCTTCGGCATGCAAGCCGCGGAGTGCGTCCTCTCCCCCGCGATGCCGTCCACGACCGCGCGCGCGGCGGGGGTGTTCGTGCCCATCATAAACTCGCTGGACGAGCGCACGCGCGCGTTTCTGACGGGGCAGCAGCTGCAAGGAGGGAACGCGTCGAGCACGCTGCTCCTGTCGGCGGCGGCGCAAAATTTTCTCTGCGTGCAGCTCGCGGCGGCGCAAGGCGTGACCTTCGCGAACCCGTTCGCGGAGTGGTTCGTCGCCGCGAGCGTCCCGTGCGTCCTCTCGCTCCTCGCGACGCCGCTCGTGCACTACGCGATCGATCCGCCGGAGTTGAAGGACACCCCGGAGGCGCCGAAGGCGGCGGCGGCGAGGTTGGAGCGGATGGGCGCGCTCTCCGCCGCGGAGGCGCGTTCTAGTATCACACTACTCCCCATACGACCGCGTTCGCGTGGTGAACGCCGATCCTTAAGGACTTTCTCTCCCGGCGCATCTCTCCGCCCACACCACGGTTTCAATCCCGACACACCTCGACGCCTTTTGACTCCGACTGACGCCTTTCAACTCCACCCCGACGTCGCTTTGAATGGACCCTCGACCCTCATCAGACGCGAATGGTCGGCGGCCTCGGCGTGACCGTGTTCCTCTGGATCTTCGGGTCGACCCTCGGGATCAGCGCCGCGCTCGCGGCGATGATCGGCCTCTGCATTCTCATCTGCGCGGGCGTGCTCACGTGGGACGACGCGCTGGAACAGAAGGGCGCGTGGGACACGTTGCTGTGGTTTGCGATTTTGATTTCCATGTCCTCCGCGTTGAACGCGCTCGGCGTCGTCGGCTACTTCGCCGGCGCCGTCTCGTCGTCGTTGGTCGCCGCGAACGTCTCGTGGGGCGCCGCGTTCGGCGCGCTGCACCTCGGGTACTACCTCATGCACTACTTCTTCGCGTCGCAGAGCGCGCACGTCGGCGCGTTGTACCCGGCGTTTTTGGCGATGATGATATCGAGCGGCGCCCCCCCCGCTCTCGCCGCGTTGACGCTCGCGTTTAACACGAACCTCTTCGGCGGGCTGACGCACTACGCGTCCGGTCAGTCCGCGGTGTACTTCGGGTCCGGGCACCTCCCGCTCGCGACGCTGTGGAAGCAGGGCGCGTACATGAGCGTCGTGAACGCGGTCGTCTTCGGCGTCGTCGGGATGGCGTGGTGGTAAGGATCACTCAAATTACACCGTCCCACCTCTTAACTACCGCTTCGGGCTCCCCACGTCTTATATCGCTCGCGTTATGACTTGACAAACTACTCGGGCGTGTGCGTGTCTGATTGTTTTTTTGTGCGGGTGACTCTAACAAGTGGAAAGTCGTGGGCTTGTGGTGAGTGAGGTGAATGAAACGGTGCACTCGTAGCCGTTACGTTACGTTATGATATGATATTATTACTCGTATGATGTTAAAACGCTCCCGGGCACCCTTCCGCGTACGGGTCGATGTCGCACTCCCCGAACGGCTTGAACCGATTCTCCACGTTCCCTACGCTCGGCTCCGCCTTGAACCCGCGCGGTTTCAACGACCCCATCTCCACGCTCTCTCGAAAGGCGGTCACGATGAAACTGATCGTGGACGTTCCCGGCGGGATGGCCGCGCCGTACCCCGCGAGAACCGTCCGCGACGTCCCCGTCGGGTTCACCGTGACCGCGCTGTTGCCTTGCTTGTCCTCCACGAACCCGAACACGTCCGCGGCTTCGACGACGCGTTTCAGATTATTCGTCGCCGTCGCGGTGAACTTGAGGCACACCGTCTTCGCCTTGGGGCCGTTCCATACGAGCGAACGTCGGGGTGGAGTTGAAAGGCGTCAGTTGAAGTTGAAAGGCGCCGAGGGCGGGGAATGAACGCGAGGGACCCTGGGCGGAGAGAAACAACGGCAAAAGTCCTTAAGGATTGGCGTTCACCACGCCAACGCGGTCGTATGGGGACTAGTGCGAGGAGAACGCGCCTTGTTCGGGAGGTACGTGTTCGGCGGGCACGCGTCCAGGACCTCGTACGCGATGTCCGAGAGCGCGATCTCGCCGCTGTGTGGTTTCGAGCGTGGTTTTTTTGGTGTCGTCGGGGACGGCGCGGCGGGGTCAGAGCGCGACGGAGAGCGAGAGTCGAGTCTATCCATCCGCGTTCGCGGCGTCGTCGTCGGACGAGGGCGATTTGAGGACGCACCCGAACGCGGCCGCGGGAGGCGCGCGCGACGCTTGGTCGACGCCGACGACGCCGAGTAGGATGGAGGATAAGACCTCGCGGCGGGTGCTCGACGGTCGCGACGACGACGACGACGACGACGACGACGCGCGCGCGGGCGCTCGCGCGTCGTCGGAAGATGACGACGACGACGACGACGGGCGCTGACGACGACGACGCGCGACGGCGACGGCGACGCCGCGGCGCGCGACGCGCGCGCGCGTCGCGACACCGCGGCGAAGTCCGGCGAGCGGCGGCGTCGACGCGAGCGACGTGCTCGCCATGTCGACGCGAAGGGGCGACGACGAGTGACGAATCGGAGGGTGCGCTCGCGCGGCTGCAGTCGGTGGTTGCGCGCGAGTCTTCGCGTTCTTCACCCACCGCTCGGTTTCAACACTTGATCGCTTTCCCTTTCAAATGACCGATGAACTTTTTTTGTGAGCCACCGCACCGATCGCCTTCTGCGAGAGCGCCTCGCCTCGTCGGATCCTAGGGCAAGCATCACTTCATATCGACGCGCCCCACCGAACGCGCGCGTCGGCTCGAACCGCGATGTTCGCGCGCGCGTCCTCCGCGCGCGTCGCGCACGCGTCTTCGAGGTCTGTCCCGACCCTCGCGCGCGCGACGCCCTCCCCCCGCGCGCGCCGTCCCCGTCCCCGTCCCCGTCCCCGTCCCCGTCCCCGCGTTGTTACCGAAATAATTCATTCGCCCCGCCGACGCCTCCTCCCCCGTCCCTCCCTCCCTCTCTCTCTCCGCAGCGCCGCGCCGCTCGGGGACGCCGAGCGCCGCTCGCGCGCCGCCGTGCGCCCCGCGAAGCCGTCGTCGCGGCGAGAGATCGTCCGCGGGTCCGTCGCGCTCGCCGCGGGCGACGTCGCGGTGGACGAAGCGCGCGTCCACGACGACGGTGCGCGCCTCGCTCGTCCTCCGCCCGCCCGCGCGCCCGCCGTCGACTGACGCGCCGCTCGCCCCCGTCCCCGTCCCCGTCCCCGTCCCCGTCCCCGTCCCCGTCCCCATCAGACGAAGACGCGCGAGGCGCGCGCTCGCGCAGGGACTTCCTCGCCGCGCAGATCATCGCGTCCGCGTCCGCGACCGCGTCGCTCCTCCGTCCGTCTCGCGTCCTCGCCGCGGGTGCGACACTGGTCCCCGTACGACCGCGTTCGCGTGGTGAACGCCGATCCTTAAGGACTTTTCCCGTCGCATCTCTGCGCCCACACCTCGCTTTCAATCCCGACACACCTCGACGCCTTTCAACTCCGCTTCTGACGCCTTTGAACGCCTCCACCCCGACGTCATCTCGCATGGAACGACCTGCGGACGGGACGACGAACGCGAACCTCCCGAAAGATTACTACGCCGCCGCGCGCGCGGTGACGCGAGCGCTCACGGAGAGCCTCGAGTTCGAGGCGTCCAACCCCACGAACGCGGAGCGGTTCAAACGCGCCGAGCCCGCGAAGGAGGCGGTGAAGACGTTCATCAAGGACTGGGCGTCGTCGCCGCTCGCGCGCGGCGACCGCGCGCGCGACGACATCGTCCTCGCCGTGCAAGAGCTGAGCGCGTTTTACAAGGCGAACGGCAGCCGGGTCGCGCTGAGCGACGAGACGCGGCGGAGCGTCCTAGAGAAGCTGTACGACGCGAGCGAGGCGCTGCCGCCGGCGGAGAAAACGCTCGCGGACCGACTGTTAGGGTTATGATACATGATATTATATTATTTCTCGATCTGATAGTAGTATCCGACAGTCCGACAGTCCGACGTCCTCTCGTCACGCGGCGTCGCCGTGCGATACGAGTCGAGGCGATACGAGTTGAACGACGCCGTCGCCGCCGCCGACGCCGCCGCCGACGCGCGCGTCGTCCAACTCGCCCGGCCCGCGCGACTCGATCTCATGGCCGTTCTATACAAGCGAATGTCGGGGTGGAGTTCAAAGGCGTCAGTTGGCGTTCAAAGGCGTCGCGGTCGGGGATTGAAAGCGGGGGGTGGGCGGAGAGATGCGCTGGGCAAAGTCCTTAAGGAACGGCGTTCACCTCGCCAATGCGGTCGTATGGGAACCAGTGTATAGAACGCACCTCGGTCGTCCGTCCGCGCTTCCGCGACGCCGCCGCCGTCGCCGCCGCCGCCGTCGTCGTCGTCATCGCCGCCGCCGCCGCCGCCATTCGACGCGACTCCGCCGCGCACAACGACAGCGTGAACGACGCCGCCATCCGCACCCACGCCTCCACGTCCTCGCGCGGATCGAACGACAGCGCGGTCGCGGCGGCGTCCACGGACGGCGACGCCCCGCGCGCGCCGACGCCGTACGCCGCGCCGCACGCGGCCGCGAGCTCGGCGACGAAGCCGTCGCCGAAGAGCTCGTCGCCGCCGCCGCCGCGACGACGCGGAAGAGATGCGCCGGGAGAGAAAGTCCTTAAGGATCGGCGTTCACCACGCGAACGCGGTCGTATGGGGACCGGTGTGATGTGACGACGATCTCGAGCCTCCGCGCCTCCCTCCTCCTCCTCCTCCTCCTCCTCCTCCGCGCTGATCTCCTCGTCCTCGAACGCGCCCACGGACGCGACCGCCGCGCCGCGCACGCATTCGCTGAACGACGTCAGCCCGACGCGTCGAAGCCACGGCGACGCGCCCTCCGCGTCGGCGCTCGCCCAGCGCGCGACGTCCGCGGCGGCGGCGCGACGCGTCGCCGTCGACGGATGCGCGGGGTGCGAGAGATACGGCCCGACGACCTTCGCGGCGAGCCAGTCCGCGGTGGACCAGTCGTGGACGCCGCTCGGGCCGATATCGCTCAGGACGTCTAGCACGTCTGTGAGTAACGGTCCGAGGGAGTGCGTTTCTTTTTCTTCCGCCGCGGGTCTCTGATGAGATTCTTCGTCGAATTTGTCGTCTTTTTCGTCTGAGTTCGCGTCGTCGTCGACGTCCGCTCGACGACGACGATGATGTTTTTCGCGCTCCCCCGCGCGGCGCCGCCGCGACGCCGCGCGCGGGAACAAGAACGCCTCCGCGCTCGGATCCGTCAGAACGTGCTCCTGCGATGTCGACGGGACGCGTCGTGAGCGAGAGGGATCGCGCGTCGCGCGGGACGACGCGCGATGGCGCGAGTTTTGTCGCGATGACGTGTCGCGTAGGCGTCGCCGCGAAAAGTGTGGCGGGAGAGGCGACGCGCGCGACCAGACGCGACGCACCGAGAGCAGGATCATCCCCGCGAGCTTATCGTCGCAGTACTCCGCTCGGATGAGCTCGAACGCGGCGGCGTATCTCGCTTCGCCGCGACCGTTCGCGTCTCGAGAACGACCCGAATCGTCGCTGACGCGAATCGCGTCGCGCACGACCTCCGCGGACGCGCGCGCGTCGACGCCGCGCCACGGACCCATCGACATGTTCGCTTCGAAAAACTCCGCGATCGACGCGGACGCGACGGACGCGAGGCGCGCGCGCACGTCCTCCGCGATGCGCGCGCCCTCGGACGCGATGCGCCGCCGACGCGCGGCGTCGCTCGTCATGTCGCGCGCGTCGTCTCTCGAGCGCTCCGTCCGCGCTCTCCCCGCGCGCGCGAGAATGGCCGCGTCACGTCCGCCGATAAAAAAACGAAAAACGGACGCACGTGCGAACGCGCCGACGTGGCGTTTCTGTTCGTACTGTACGATAGTTTTCGACGTACTTTCGTACAGTACTCCTGACCACGAGCGCCATACGACGGCAAATATCTCCGCATCTTTGGGGATCTGCTGAGAAAAAACGTGAAAAAACGAGCTCGTGATATCCGCGATCGAGCCGTCCGATCAATCGGACCCGCGCATCGGTCATCGCCCGACGCGAAAGGTATTTTTGAGACTATGCGGCTCCTATGCGGCTTTCAAACGTGGCTTTCAACCTGCGATTTACGGGCGCGCTCTCCACGCGTCGCGTCGTGGCGTGGTCTCATCTGCGAGGCATTTCGTCGGGCGCGTCGCGTGCCATTCATTCACTCGTTCCTCGCACGCGCTCGAGCTCGCGACATGAACGCGACCGCGATGCTGCTTCGGCGCGGGTTCGTCGTCGCGAGGTTCGCGAAGAGCGGGCTGAGCGCGACGACGCGACGCGCGCGCGCGGCGCCCGCGCGCGTCGCCGTCGGCGGCGCGACGTCCGCGACCGCGTCCTCCGCGTCCTCCTCCGAGACGGCGATTGCGATTGCGACGGCGACGGCGACGGCGCGGCGCGCGTACACGCGCGGCGTCAAGCCCGGGCGCGGGGACGAGCAGACGACGCGCGCGGCGCGCGGCGTCGGGCACTTCACCGCCGAGGACGAGGCCGCGCTCGAGATGGAAGCCGAGCGGCCGACGCGATTCGCGCAGCAGGTGCGCGCCGACCAGACGCGCGTTCGTTCATTTCGTTTCGTTCCCACCGAACGATTCGCCGCCGCCGGACGCGCGTCCGACGAGTCGACGCGCGCGCGCGTCCTCCGTCCGTCCGTCCCATCCTCGCGCGCGCATTCGCGCGTCCTCCTCCTCCACCCCCTCCCGCCGCCGTTCTTCCTCGCCTCTCTCCTCCCTCGCGACGCGACGCGCCTCACGACGCGTCGTCCCCGGCCATTCCTCCTCCTCCTCGTCTCTGCTCTCCTCTCTTCAGGTCCGACTCGTGCAGTGGTACCCCGGACACATCGCCAAAGCCGAGCGCGCGCTCCGCGAACAACTCCGCGGCGTCGACGCGGTCGTGGAAGTCCGCGACCTGCGCATCCCGCTCGCGACGACGCACCCGGAGATCCCAAACTGGATCGGCGGCAAGCTCCGCGTCCTCGTCCTGAACCGCGCGGACATGGTCTCGGACGGCGAGCGACAGCGGTGGGTCGCGTGGTTCAAGGTGCGTTCAGGGTTTCAAACGTGTTTCACCCACCCACCCCGTGGCAGTTTCAACATGATTTTGATCGCAAACATGGTCCCTTTCAAAAAATGACCGAAGATTTCGCATCCACCAAACAGAAAAACGGCGAGAAACACGTCGTGCTCACGGATGCCAAGTCTGGAAAGGGCGTCAACAGGGTCAAAGAGGTCGCGCTGCTCGTGAGCGAGGAGGTGAACGCGAAGCGCGCGGCGAAAGGGTTGATGCCGCGGCCGGTGCGGACGGCGATCATAGGGTATCCGAACGTCGGGAAGAGCGCTCTGATCAACCGTCTGACCAACTCCAAGGCGTGCGCGTCGGCGCCGCGGCCGGGCGTGACGCGGAATCTTCGGTGGGTGCGCGTCGGCGGCGACTTGGACTTGCTCGACTCCCCCGGGGTGTTGCCGCCGCGGCTCGCGGACCAGGCGGCCGCGACGAGGCTCGCGATGGCGAACGACATCGGCGAGGCGAGTTACCTCTCGTCGAACGTCGCCGCGCAGCTCTTCGACGAGATGAAGACGTTGCCGCAGTGGGTCGGACGCCACGTCGGCGGAAACGGAAAGAAGAAGGGCGCTCCTTCCTCCGTCTCCGGCGGTGGACTGAAAGAGACGACGCGGAAGCGGTTCAAGCTGGACGCGATCCCGGACGCGATGACGGGCGAGGATTTCGTCATCGCCGTCGCGGAGAAGATGAGCTCGGACGATCTCGAACGCGCCGGGACGCGCATACTGATCGACTTTCGATCCGGCGCGCTCGGCGCGTTTTGTTTAGAACCCGCGCCGAGGAAGGGCGACGACTACGCGGACGCGAGCGAGATGGGGAAACCGAAGAGGGTCGTGATGGACGCGCCGACGGAGGTGAAGCTCGGGCACGGGTACTACGACGCGAGGGACGAGGTCGAGCTCAGGGAGCTCGGGGCGGACGTCGATCGGAATTAATTACGTAATAAAAGGTTTCCATTCTTTTTCGTAGCTAGGGCGGCGTATCGCCAAAACCTCCGCTCATCAAGTCAACGAAACGAACGTCCCCTCCGCGGACGCGACGACGACGCACGCGCTCGTCGCCGGCGCGGTCCCGCTCCCTCCGTCCGCCGTGTACACCTTGATGGCGAAATTTTTGGTAACGCCCGCGCCGCCCGAGTTATCCGGCGCGACGACGATCTCGAGCGCGCCGTCGCCCCCGTCGCCCACGCTCGCGCTCGCCCTCGTCGTCCCCGTCCTCGGCGGCGTCTTCGTATCGTCCACCTCCGGCGCCGCGCCGGAGTGATGCTGCAGCAGCAACTCCGCGCTCAGCGTCGCCGGGAGGCTCGAGCTCCAGACGCACTCGAGGGCGAGCGTCACCTTCGCGCTCTTCCCCACGGCGAGTCTGAGCGTCGTTCCATACGAGCGAATATCGGGGTGGAGTTGAAAGGCGTCAGAAGCGGACTTGAAAGGCGCCGAGGGCGGGGAATGAAACCGAGGGACCCTGGGCGGAGAGAAACGCCGGGCAAAGTCCTTAAGGATCGGCGTCCACCACGCCAACGCGGTCGTATGGGGACCAGTCAGTGTATAGAACGCACCTGAGCGTCGCCGCCGTCGCCGTCGTCGCCGCGGCGTTGGTCAACGTGACGCTCTTCGTCACGCTCGCCCTCTTCCCCCCCAAACTCGCCACCGAGCTCCCGCCCACGTACACGTTCCCGTCTATCGAGGCGCCGCCCTTGACGTACAGCGCGCCGACGCCGCCCGCGGCGCCGTCGGTGGCGTCTAAAACCTTCAGCTTGGCTTTGATCGCGGCGGACTTTTCCACGGCGAGCCCGCCGGCGACACGCACGGCGCCGTCTACCGCGTCCGCGGCGCCGACGGTGGCGTCCGTGGTGTCCGCCACGCGCACCGTCCCTGCGAGATGGACGCGAGATGGGCGGATGTGAGTACGTGATGTTAGGGTTTTGGGTTTAGGGTTTAGGGTTTAGGGTTTTGGATCCGAGAGAGAGAGAAGACGGGACGGGACGGGACGGGACGACGGCGGCGGCCGACGTCCAACGCCGATCTCAGATCCGATCCCTTTCCAGCGCGGCGCGAGCCTCCGATTGAATCGAGTTTTATCCGCAACACGCCTCGCGGACGGAGGTTCGGTTCTAGTAGCTGATTATTTTTGCGTTCGTCCTCGGCTCGCGGCGCGCGCGGGAGTGGGGGATCGGATCGGATCGGATCGGATCGGACGGGACGGGACGCGTCGTCCGACGTCCGTCCGTCGTCGCCGAGCGCGAAAAGCAAAGCGCGCGAGAAAAGAAAAGAGAAAAGAGATTAGAAACCGAGAAGAAACCGAGAAGAAACCGAGAAACCGCGCCGCACCCGTCAAGTACGTCTTCTTCCCCACCACTAACCCCCCCGCGGTCACCACGCTCGCCGCCGCGCCGCACGCGCCGCTCGCGCTCGTCGCGCACGCGTCCGTCGCGTCGATCACGTTTACCGGATAATTCGATTTCACGTTTTCCGCGCCGTCGCGCGTGTCGAACACCACCATCGGGTTGTTCTGGTCCGCGGTGATCTGCAGCCCGACCGCGGCGTTATCGAGCGCCTCTATCGACGTGTTCTGCACGTGCAGCGGCGCGTGCACCTCGAGACGCTGCGTGACGCTGTCCACGACGAGGTACGTCTGAGCGCTCGGGGAGTTTTGATCCTTCAGCGTCGTTCCGTACGAAGCGACGTCGGGGTGGAGTTCAAAGGCGTCAGAAGCGGAGTTGAAAGGCAACGCGGGCGGGGATTGAAACCGAGGGATGGGCGGAGAGATGCGACGGGCAAAGTCCTTAAGGATCGGCGTTCACCACGCGGACGGGGTCGTATGGGAACCGGTGTGATATAGAACGCGCCTTGAGCGTCAACGCGTTCGCGTTGGCGCCCTGCACGACGATCGCGCTCTCGCCGTTGCTGTTGTCGAACGTCACGCTGCCGCGGAGCAGCGAGCTCCCGTCCACCTCGAACCGCGCGGATGGGACGGAGGTGGAGTTGTACTTCGCGATGTCGCCCACGGCGACGTTCCCGGTCGGCCCGTCGACGTACAGGCGGCCGACGCCCGACCACGACGGGCGCGTCGTCGACGTGTCGGGGTCCTGGCGCGTGACGTCGCCCTCGCTGACCGCGCGCGTCGGGCTCGGGGCTGCGCGCGCGCGATGATCGGATCGGGAGGCGAGAGCGGGGACGGACGTCAGCGGGGACGGAGGAGGGAGGGAGGGTTCGATCGAGCGCGCGTCGGGTTCGAAGCGCCCCATTCACGAACGAACAACCCGCGCTGGGGTCTCGTCTCCCGCGCGCACCTTGGACGAGGAGCGCGAAGAGGAGCGTCGCCGCGGCGAGGAGCGACCGCGTGGACGCCATCGCGACGGTCGACGGGCGCCGCTCGCGTCCGCGCGCGGTCGCCGGGCGCTGTGCGAGAGGACGCCGCGGGCGCGGCGGGGTGATGGCGGGATGACTGGGCAGTCGAGAACCAGACTGGTATCGACATCTCCCGATCCTGGTATCGTAACGCTTCACGTAAGTTGTGTGGGCTTCAGCTGAGGATCAGTGGAAATTCTCGCCGACCCCACTCTGTTAAACGGTCGATAGTCGATCGACGATTCCCGACCGCGATCGGACGCAGAGATGGGTTAGCCCTACACGCGCGCTTTTTAAGGTTTTTTATTGGTGTCTCTTCGCCGGCGTGCGAGCTTTTATACGACAATCGCGCGTCGTTTCGGACTCGCGCGAGTCGCGCGCTCACCGCGTCGCGCGCCGCGCCGTCGGATCCGCCGCGCGTCTCGACTCGACTCGACCCGTCTCGACTCGACTCGATCCGATGCCGCGTCCGCTGCCGATCGCGGCGGCGCGTCTGATGACGCGTCGCGCGCTTCTCTCGAAGATGAACGACGACGACGACTACGACGACGACGACGGGTTCTTCTTCTCGAGTCCGTTCTCGTGGATCATCGTCGGCGCGATTTTCATGATCCTCCTCGCGATCGTGACGTGGAACGTCATGGAGCGCCTCAGGGTCGTCGAGGAGGAGCGCGTGGCGGCGGAGCGCGCGGCCGCGCGAGAGGAGGCGGAGGACGAGATGAAGGACGCGAAGAGGCGAAGGATGGCGACGGCGTGGATGCGAAGGTACGGCGACGGCGCGTGCGTCGAGGTCGCGATGCCGGGCGGGATCTCCGCGGTGGGGTACAAGGAGACCGGCCGAGAGCGAGAAGAAGCGCGCGGCGGGAAGGACGACGAGACGGAATCGGACGAGGAGACGACGACGAGCGCGTCGCGGTATCTCGCGGCGTTCAGACAGGACAGCGCGGAGCGAGCGCCGACGACGTCGTTTTGGCTTTCGGTCGAGGACGACGACCGCCGCGACGACTCCGCGCACGGCGGCGCGGTGAACAGGCGCGCGCGCGCGGGGAACGTGGTGTGCCCGGTGGAGAACCCGGAGAGCCGACCGCCGTCGCCCGCGACGTCGCGCTCTCGGCTCACCACGTCGGTCGTCGTCGAGAGCGTCGAGAGGCCCGGAGGCGCGGCGGAGACGGCGTCGTCGTCGACGCGCGAGGGGGGGGACGTGGAGCGAGGCTTCTTCGGAGAAGAGAGGGGGGACGTAGAGCGCGGTGGCTTGTGAGGATATGAGTGTGAGTAATCCAATCCCGAGTCGTCTGGTTAAATAGTAAAATAAGCTTAACTTGTGATGAACCGCATCCGTCGCGCGCGCCCGCGTCGCCGCCGCCGCCGCCGCCGCCGTCGTCCCGTCCGGTCCGGCGGCGCCGTCAGTCGTTCTCTTTGGTGCGGCTCCGCGCGAGGCACGGATGCTCCGGGCACTCTCGCTCGAGCCACGGCCCTAACCCCTCGCTCGTGTCCCGAAAGGGCTTCCTCTTGACCGTTTCATCCTCCCCGCCCGCGGCCGCGAGCATCTCCGGCGGGAATCCGTCCGGGTACGCCTTGATCGACGCCTTCCACTTCCCCGCGCTGCCTTTACCACCGTGGAATTCAAACGCTTGCAGCCCGAAGACGTTACTCTCCTGCAGCTTCGCGGCGACGCCCGCGGCGCACCCGGAGCAGAGACAGTGCACGAGCCCGTCGGCGATGACGAACTCGCCCTTCGCGCCGCCGCAGTCGACGGCGACGGCGGGCGGGCACGTCCGAGGGACGGGGAAACTGCACGGCGTCGGGGTGGAGTTGAAAGGCGTCAGATGGAGTTGAAAGGCTTCGAGGGCGGGGATTGAAACCGAGAGCTGGGCACAGAGACACGCCGGGCAAAGTCCTTAAGGAATGGCGTTCACCACGCGAACACGGTCGTATGGGGACCAGTGTGAGGAGAACGCGCCTGCACGGCGGGCCGCCGCCGCCGCCGCCGCCGTAGTCGTCGTCCATCTTCGCCATCCCCGCGAGGTCGTCGAACGACCGCTTGTTCGCGCCGGACTCGGTCAGCGCCCCGTCCCCGCCTTTGCCTCCAGACGGCGGCGGCGGGGACGCGCTGCGAAAGCCCTTGGAGAGGAGCTCCACGCCGAACCCCTTGAACCCGCGCGCGAGGTTCGCCCTCGCGATGGCGCCCGACGGCGGCGGCGGTCCGATCGCGCCCGGCGCGAGCGAGACGCTCATCCCGGCGCCGTGCGCGCCTCCCGCGCCAACCCCACTCCCCGCTCCCCTCTGCATCCTCCCGAGCGTCCCGTTCGCGGCAGCCTCCGCGGCGGCGAGCAAGAACCCGCGGCGCCCGGGAGGCGCGATGCCCGCGAGTTTCCCGCCTCGACACGCGTGGCAGCACCACGAAGCGTTCGGCGGCGGCGGCGGCGGGTCGATCCGGAGGCACGCGATATGGCCGCCGGCGGGGCAGCCGTCGCACAGGATGAAGTCGCGCGCGTCCACGCCGACGCGAGCGCAGACGACGCACCGGACGTTGTTCTCTTTGAGCGGCACGGGGTCGCCGGCGAGAGGGGCGGGCGCGGGGGGCGGTTTCGAATCGTTTTTCGCGGCCTCCGCCGCCGCCTCCGACGTCGACTTCGCGAGCGCGGCGACCGCGGGGGAGTCCTCCGCGGGCGCGGCGACGTCGTTTTCGTTTTTGATCGCCGCCGCCCGCGATTCGGGCTCGGCGAAGCCGTCCTTCGCCGGCGGCGCCGGCGCCGGCGCCGGCGCCGCCGCCGCGATCGCCGCCGCCGCCGCCGCGGGGACGCGAACCGCCGGCGCGACGACGACCGGAACGTCGGCCTCGTTCCAGCACGGCACGAAAACCTCGTCGTCGTGATCGAACGCCTCGACGACGAACGTTTTTTCGTGAGCCGTCAGCGCGTCCCGCTTCGCGGCGGTCAACGCGGCGAGCGCGGCGGCTCCGGGCGCGGAGTCCCCCCCCGTCAAAATCGCATCCACGACGGGAGACCCGAGCACCGCGTCTTCGTCCATCCCGACGTACTTCCACCCGTCGACTCTGCACCACGGCTTGCCGCCACCGCGCGTGAGCTGCGTCGCGAGGAACGACGACGGCTGCGCGCCGACGGCGCCGCGGACGGGAGGCGCCTCGTCGTCGTCGTCGTCGCCGTCGCGCGAGCTCTTCCTCCGCTTCTGCGGCGGCGCGCCGCCGGTTCGATCCCCGCCGCCGCCGCCGCCGCCTTTCGCGCCGTGCGCCTCGAGCGGCGCCGCGGGGATGGGCAGGCACACTCCGCCTTGCGCGCGACGCCACACGACGCTCTCCGCGGACTCGAGATACTCCGCGTGCCACGTGGCGAGAAACGCGTACACCGCCGTCGCGCCGTATCGCATCCGGTGGACGACGCCCGCGCCGCCGCCGACGCTGCCAACCTGGCAAAACGGCGACGTGAACGGCATCGTGAGGGCGGACGGTCGGAAGAACGTCCGCGTGATCGAGGTGAGGTAGAGGAGGTCCCCGGTCGCGGCCGCGGCGGCGTGCGCGTCGTCGTCGTCGTCGTCGTCGGATTCAGATTCGGACTCCTTCAGACGCCACGCGGCGGCGGCCACCGCGCGCAGCCGTCGCCGCGCGTCCTTCAACGACGCGGACGCCTTCCCGCCGTCACCCGCGGCGTCCTCGAGTTTCTTAAACGCGCGGTCGCCGAGCGTTTCCTTCGCCGCCTTGAGCGCGCGTTTCATGACGGCGTTCAAGTGCGTCAACGCGTGCGCGGCGGTGAGCGCTTTCAGCGGCGGCGGCGCGGCGCGAACGCCGTCCGCGACCATCTTCTCGTTCGCCATCCCCCTGACCGGGTCCGTACCTCCCGCAGCATCGGTCGATAACACGTGCCGCACTTTATCCAGAGTCACGACGAGGCTCTGCAAGCGTCCGGCGGCGACGCCCGAGGCTTCGGACTCCGCGTCCAAGTGCGCGGCTTTCGCGGCTTTCGCGGCGGCGGCGGCGGCGGCGGATCCGTCTCCCCCTCCCGCTCCTCCATCCTTCGCCGCCGCCGCTCGCGCTTTCGCCGCCTTCACGAGCGCCTGCGACGCGAGCGTCACGCGCAGCGCGGCTTTCTCGTCCGCGATGTACTTTACCGCGCTCGCGGCGAACCGCAGCGTCCACTCCGGGAGGCCGCTCAGGACGCCGCGCTCGGTATCGTCGGACGCGTCGCCGAGCTTCAACCCCGCGTCGGACAACTGTCGGATAATGTCCGACATAGTAATCGACGACGACGACGACGGCGGCGGCCTCGATGTTGACGTGCACGACGCGCGCAACAGCGCCGCGGTCGTCGCCGCGACGTGCTGCCTCGCGCGAAGATACGATGCGAAGTCGTCGTCGCCGGCGTAGTGCAGATACGACACCCTACATCGCTTCGCGCCGCAACAACAGATCGCGCGCTTCATCTCCCGCTCGCTGTCCGTCTGACAGTTGTAGTCCCAGCACACTTCCTCGCCTCTCGCGATGTGACAAGTGGACACCATCTCGACCGCGTACGACCCCTCGCGCACGCGGACGCGCATCTCCGCGTTCGGTTCGCACGAGTGCGACGCGCGCGTGAGCAGACTCCCTTTGACCATCCCGTCGACGAAGAGCATGTCGTACCCTTTCGGATCCGCGACGTCGCGCTCGACCGCGGCGTTGTAGAACACCGGGACGTCCTCGTCGTCGCGGACGTCGCGACGGACTCTCTGCGCGGCGACCTCTTTCTCGAACCACCGCCACCCGGGGTAGAGCTCCCCCGCGTACGGACCCAGATACGCGCCTGATGAGCGTCGGGGTTGAGTTGAAAGGCGTCAGAAGCGGAGTTGAAAGGCGTCGAGGGCGGGGATTGAAAGCGAGGGACCCTGGGCGGAGAGAGACGACGGCGAAAGTCCTTAAGAAACGGCGTTCACCACGCGAACGCGGTCGTATGGGGACCAGTCTGGCGGCGCGAGGAAGGAGGACGCGCCCTTCGGAATGCCATCCGCGCGAACGCACACCAGCCCGTGGCCTTTGCTTCGCGCGCGAATCTCCTTCGGCTCTTTCGCGCACAGCTTCGCGAGCACCAGCGCGGGGGCTTCCATCCACCCGCAGTCGCGCAGGTTTAGGTCCTCCGTGTCGCGCGGCGTCCGCTTCGGGACGTTCGCGACCGTCTTCGCCGCGTGGTGCAACCCGGGATCTTTCCCCGCGACGGCTCTCAGACGCATCGTCTGAAACACCTTCGCGAGCACCTTCTCCGCGTCGTCCTCGCTCAGACCGGCGCCGCCGTCCTCCGCGGACGCGGTCATCGCCTCGAGGACGCGCTCTCGCGTGTACGCGTCCACGCCCTCGAGCTCGACCAACGCGACGTCGCCGCCGTCGCCGCCGCCGTCCGCGGCGGCGGCGGCGATCGGGGTCCCGGCGCGAGCGGCCGGATCCCTCGCGTCGTTCGTCGCGTCCGCGGGCGCCGCGCGCTGCGCCTCGGGCGCGAAGCCGCGGCCGGCGCGAAGCCGCGCGAACGTCCGCGTCGCGTCCGCGGCGTCCAACTCCGTCGGCTTCACGTTCCCCGGGACGAGCTCGACGTCCCCGAACTCCACCTTCGATCCTCTCTGAGGGCCGTTCCATACGAGCGAACGTCGGGGTGGAGGTGAAAGGCGTCAGTTGGAGTTGAAAGGCGTCGAGGGCGGGGATTGAAAGCGAGGTGTGGGCGGAGAGAAGCGCCGGGAAAAGTCCTTAAGGATCGGCGTTCACCACGCCGACGCGGTCGTATGGGAACCAGTGTATAGAACGCGCCTGATGATGGTGATGATGACGCTGCCCCCCCCCGCCGTCGAGCTCGTTCGCCGCCGGCGCGTGCGCGCCCGTAGCCCTCACGAGCTCCTCCTCCGTGAGCGTGCCGCCGCAGCGCGCGGCGGCCTCCTTCTCCGCGCGCTCGATCGCCGCGAACTTGGCCATGATGGCGGTCACGTCCTCGTCGTCGTCCGCGTATCCGACGTAGTGCGACGCGCGTGGGGCGTTCGCGTTCGCGCGCGAGGGGCGCGGCATCGTCGTCCGTCCGTCGTCCGCGACGCGGGGGCGGTCTCCGCGGCGACGCGCGAGCGAGAGTGGCCGGCGGCGTCGCGTCCGCGCGCGTCGCCGTCTGGCTGTCGTCGCGCGCGCGTCGTCGTTCAAACAACGACGACAGAACTTTTATAGAACCTCGCATCGAAGTTCAAAAGTCGAGTAGTTTTGCGCGTACTACGTTTTATTTTCGTACGCGTAAACAGTCATCAGCCAATCACCGCGCGCGATCTCGAAGAATTTTCGATCACTGGATCAGGGAAAGCGACGCGACCTCCCCGCGGCCGTCGAATCGCGCACCTCACTCCCCCCGCCGCGACGGCACGCTTCCAAAGCGCGCGCCTCCGCCTCGCTCGTCGAAGCTCATCGACACGTCATCAACCAAAATGGCCGGCGAGATGCCTGACGGATTCGGGATGCCCGGCGGCCCCGGCGCTGGCGGGATGCCCCCCGGGCTCGCGCAGATGATGGCGGGCGCGGGCGGCCCCGGCGGCGCGCCTTTCGACATGAGCAAGATAAAAGAGATGCTCGAGGATCCCGCCATCAAGGACATGGCGAAGCAGATCGCGGAGGACCCCTCGTTTAAGACGATGGCGGAGAACATGCAGAGCGCGATGGCGAACGGCGGCATGCCCGGCATGCTCGGCGGCGCGGGCGGCGCGGCCGCCGCTGGCCCGATGGGGATGCCGCCGGGCCTGGACCCCGCCGCCGCGATGGAGGCGATGCAGGGCGTGATGCAGAACCCCGCGTTCATGCAGATGGCGGAGAAGCTCGGGAAGTCGATGATGGCGGACCCAGCGATGGCGAACATGATGTCGCAGATGCAGGACCCGGAGACCACGGAGAAGATGAAGGCGAAGATGGAGGCGCTCAAGGAAGATCCAGAGATGGCGGACATCATGAAGGAGATCGAGTCGGGAGGGCCCGCGGCGATGATGAAGTACTGGAACGACCCGAAAGTCCTCCAGAAGATCTCCGGCGCGATGGGCGACGTCATGCCCGGCTTCGGCGGCGCCGCCGCGCCCCCCGCCGCGCCCGCGGAGGAGGAGGAGGAGGAGGAGGAGGAGGAGGAGGACGGCGAGGAGACGGTGCACACCGCCGCGAGCGCGGGGGAGGCGGAGACACTCCAGGAGCTCATCGACGGCGGTGCCGACGTCAACGCGACCGACGGCGAAGGTCGCACGGCGCTTCACTTCGCGTGCGGGTACGGCGAGATCAAGTGCGCGACGATCTTGTGCGACGCCAAGGCGGACGTGAACGCGGTGGATAAGAACAAGAACACTCCGTTGCACTACGCCGCGGGATACGGCAACGGCGAGGTGGTCAAGCTCCTCGTCGACGCCGGCGCGAGCGTGACGCTGCGTAACTTGGACGGGAAGTCCCCGCTCGACGTCGCGAAGCTGAACGATCAGGACGAGGTCGTCGCCGCGCTCGAGGCGGACGTGTTCCTTTGATTTGAACGCGCGCGTTTGTCGCGGCGGTTCGAATCGTTCGTTGTCTCGCGAAGACAGACATTGTCAATAACCTTACGTACGGAAAGAAAACACGCACTACTGCGCTTCGTTTCACTTCTATCATAAGGTGACCTTAGTCTATCGAGCCCTACAGTACGGCGTCGTCACGACGCCGCGCTCGCGGCTTCGTTCAAGTACGCCTCGCTGACTGCGCACGTGACGTACCCGCGCATCTCCTGGAGCAGCCGTCGTCGTAACTCCGTGCCCTCGCGCGCGAGGTGGGCGAACCGACGCCACTCGATCGCGGCGCACCGAGTCGACGTCGTCGCCGTCACCGTCGCCGTCCGCTTCTTTTTCGAAAAGAGCTCGAGCTCGCCAAAGTAACTGCCCCGCGAAAACTCCGCCACCCGCAACGCGTTCTCGACGCCCGGGACGCGAACCGTCGCGACCGCGGCGCCCACCTCGAGCAGATAGAACCGATCCGGGGCGTCCCCTTGCGCGATGATCACGTCCCCGGCGCGATACACCGCCTCGTCCATCGCCTCCGTGAGGTCGATCCGCTCGCTCGCCGGAAGACGCCTCGCGATGGGCGCGTCCGCGAAGAAACGCCGCGAGACCCCCCGCTTCCCATGCACCGCCGCGCCGGCGACGCGCTCGAACCACCGTCGATGCATCCCCCAGAGCTTCGCGCCCTTGTCGTTCGCGCGCGTCGTCCGCTCGCGCGCGCCGCCGTAAACCATCGCGAGGTGACCGATCACGTCCCCGGGGAGGTAGTCGCCGCCGTTTTCGTCGTCGCCGCCGTCGTCGTCGCCGCCGCCGTCGATCCCCCGGCGCACCCTCCGCGGACTCTGTATCACGTCCCCGCCCGCGGTCGCCTCGCCTCGCGTCCACTCCGACACCGACCCGCCCTCGACGACGTACACGTACCGCGCGGCGTCGCCCGCGTTGTACAGGACGTCGTTCGGTTTGACCACGAGCGCCTCCATCTCCGCGACGGCTCTTCGCATCGTCGCGCGTTCGCACCCGCGAAACACGGGGTGGTTCTGTACGAGCGAACGTCGGGGTGGAGTTGAAAGGCGTCAGGCGTGGAGTTGAAAGGCGGGCGTCGAGGTGCGTCGGGATTGTGAGCGAGGGACCCTGGGTGGAGAGATGCGCCGGGAAGTAAAGTCCTCAAGGATCGGCGTTCACCACGCCGACGCGGTCGTACGGGGACCAGTGTGAGGAATACGCGCCTCGAACGCGTCGAGTATCCTCGCGAGTCGCTCTTCCCCGCGCGGCGTCGGCCCCAACGGCGGCCGTTTCTTCATCCTCTTCTCCTTCCTCGGCTGGAACACGACGTCGCCGTTGACATCCTCCGCGAGGCCGACGCGTTTCTCCCGCGGCGTCTCCTCGCCGGACGCGAGCCGCGTCTTTTCGTCGTCCGAATCCGACTCGGTCGTGAGCTCGTCGTCCGACGCGACCGCGTGTTTCTGGTGCGACGCTTCCCGACGCCGACGCCGCGTCTCGTCGTCGCCGTCGTCGTCGTCGTCGTCGTCGCCCCCCGGGACGACGTAGGGCGCTCGAAGCTGCCCCGCGACGGTGGAGCCGTCGGCGTGGATGCGAACGATCAGCGGCGTTCGCGACGCGCCCGCCCCCGCCCCAGGGTCCCGCCCGTCGACCGCGCCGTCGTCCTTCCGCGGCGACGGCGTCCGCGGCACCGCGAGCGGCCGGTACTCCGCCGCCGCCGCGATCTGCCTCGCCCTCGCGTCCAGAAACCCCCACGTCGCGTCCGACCGCGCGAACGCGTCGCGAAACGTCTCCGCGTCCACGAACGCGACGTCCGTCTCCTCCTCCGCGACCGTCGCCGTCGCCTCGTACCGCGTCGCGTCGTCGATCAGACACGCCGCGGCGAAGTGCCCGCCGGGGCCGTACGTCGCGACGACCGCGTCGCCGCCGCCCACGAGCGGCGTCGTCGCCGTCACTGAGCCCTGCGGGGGTGGCGTCGTTGAAAGGCGTCAGAAGCGGAGTCGAAAAAGTCCTTAAGGATCGGCGTTCACCACGCGAACGCGGTCGTACGGGGACCAGTGTGAAAAAAAACAAACGCGCCTGCAGCACCATCCACATCCGGTCCCCGGGCTCGTCCTCCGCGCCGAGAACCTCCCCGACCTCGCACTCCTTCGTCTCGAGAAGGCACGACAGCTGCTGCCGCTGCACGCGCGTGAGCGCCTTCATGAGGTGGACGCCGTCCATCAGCGCGTCCCAGCTCCGGCGGCGCTCCGCGACGGCGGCCATCATCTTCCTGAGGGTGTTTGCCCGTACGAACCGACGTCGGGGTGGCGTTGAAAGGCGTCAGAAGCGGAGTTGAAAGGCGTCGAGGCGGGCGCGTCGGGATTGAAAGCGATGGGTGATGGGCGGAGAGAAACGAACGAACGCCGGGAGAGAAAGTCCTCAAGGAATGAAGTTCACAACGCGAACGCGGTCGTATGAGGGCCAGTGTGAGGAGAACGAACGGGGCTCCGCGCCTGAAGTTCGGCGCGCCCATCGTGATCCCGTCTATCCGCCACAGCTTCGCGTCCGTCAGCGCGACGAACGCTAAGATGACGTCCTTATCCAGCGGCTCGTCGAACATCTTCCCGGACGTCGCGAACCCGGACGCGTACGACCCGATGACGGCGCCTCTTCGGAGCGTCATCGCGACCGGGAACGGCGCGGCGGCGCCCTTTGGTTCGTTCCATACAAAGCGATGTCGGGGTGGAGTTGAAAGGCGTCAGTTGAAGTTGAAAGGCGTCGAGGGCGGGGATTGAAAGCGGGGGGTGGGCGGAGAGATGAGCCGGCAAAAGTCCTTAAGGATCGGCGTTCACCACGCCGACGCGGTCGTATGGGGACCAGTGTATAGAACGCGCCTTTCTCTCCACCTCGACATCCACCTCTCCGGATTCGACGACGTAGATGGCGTCGCGCTCCTCTTTCTTCGCGCGCTTCGGCGGGGGGAAGCACCATATCGGCTCCGCGCGGTACACGTCCACGAGCGTCATCGCGGCCGCGAACGCGCGTCTCGTGTCGTCGCGCTCGGGTTCGTCCGCGTCGTCCTCGGACGCCGCGTCGTCGTCGTCGTCGTCGTCGTCGTCGTCGTCGTCGTCGTCGTCTTTCGCCGTCTTCTTCTTCAACCTCCGTCCTCCTCCGTCGTCGTCGCTGTCGTACGCGTCCTCGTCCGACGTGTCATCCTCCTCGCTCGACACGTCATCTGAATCCACGTCCACGTCCTCGTCCTCGTCCGACTCTTCGTCCGACGTGTCGTCCTCTGATTCGTCCGACTCGAGCGCGTCGAACGCGTCGTTGCATCGCAAGCACGCGTCTTTCCTCGCGTACAGAGCCCTCGCCTCCGCGGCGATTCTCGCGGCCATCGCGTCGTACGCCTCCCGCTGCGCGCGCATCTCTTCTCTGTGCGCGCGCTGCGCCGAGGACTCCTTCTTCGTCTTCGTCGTCGTCTTCTTCCTCGCGAGCTTACCGAAGAGGCCCATCCTTCGGTGGTGCCGAGTTTGAGTTCTTCTCGCGCGCGATGACGATGACGCGTCCGCGCCCTCCTCTCCGCGTCGGCGACCGTCTATCGTCCGCGCGACGATGCCGCCGCCGCCGCGCGGTGACCGCGCGCTCGACGCGCCGGGAAGGGGACGGAGGCGGCGCGCGAGGTGAACGCGCGCCGCCGCGAGTGATGAACGCCGCGACGAAGTCCGAAGCCGTTGAAGTTCGTCGGCGCGTTCGAGAGAAACACGAACACGAACGAACAGAAAGTCGCGGCCGCCAGCCGACGCGACGCCGTCGTCAATGGCGACGGCGCTGCGACGCGCGCTGCGCGCGGCGCGCGCGCTCCTCGCCCCGCCGAGACGCGTCCCGGCGTCGTCGTCGCGGTGCCGCCGCGCGTTCGCCGGCGGCGCGGGGTCCAGCGCGAGCGGCGGCGGCGACGCCGCGGGCGTCGGCGTCGGCGTCGGCGGCGTCGGCGTCGGCGTCGACGGCGCCGTCTCCGACGCCTCGCTCGTGTCCCCCGCGCTCGTCGCGCGCCTCGAAGAGATCACGAAGCGGCACGAGCACCTCTGCGCGACGCTCTCCGCGGACCCGCCGCCGCCGCCGAAGGAGATGAGAAGGGTGAACAAGGAGCTCGCGCGCGTGGAGCCGGTCGTCGCCGCCTACGCGTCGCTGCGCGCGGTCCGAGACGAGATGGCGTCTCTGCGATCGATGATGGTGTCGTCCCCGTCCCCGTCCCCGTCCCCGTCCCCGTCCCCGTCCCCGTCCCCGTCCCCGTCCCCGTCCCCGTCCTCCTCCTCCTCCGCGTCCTCATCGTCCTCCGCGTCCGACGACGAGCTCGCGTCGATGGCGTCCGAGGAGCACGACGCCCTCGCGTCCACCGTCCCCGCGCTGGAAGAGAAGCTCGCGCACCTTCTCCTCCCGAGCGACGACGCGGACGACGGCGGCGCGATCCTCGAGATCCGCGCGGGCGCGGGCGGGGACGAAGCCGCGAGGTTCGCCGCGAACTTGGCGCGCATGTACGACATGTTCGCCAGGCGCCGCGGGTGGACCTTCGAGCGCATGACGGCGACGACGACGGACGAGGGGGGGTACAAAGACGTCACGTTCAACGTCTCGGGGGACGACGTGTACGGGACGCTGAAGTACGAGAGCGGCGTGCACAGGCGCGTTCGACGGTCGTCGCGCCGGTCCCCGTCCCTCGCTTTCGATCCCGACGCGCGCGCCGCGACGCCTTTCAACTCCTTTCAACTCCTCCGCCTGACGCCTTTCAACGACTCCACTCCACCCCGACCCGCAGAGTCCAGCGCGTGTCTGGGGACGAGGGCAAGGTGCACACGTCCACGGCGTCCGTCGCGGTGATGCCGCACGCGGAAGAGGTGGAGTTAGACTTGCGCGACGAGGACGTGCGGATAGACACGATGCGCGCGTCCGGCGCGGGAGGGCAGCACGTGAACACGACGAACAGCGCGGTGCGATTAACGCACGTCCCGAGCGGCACGGTGGTGGTCATGATGGACGAGCGGTCGCAGCATAAGAATAAAGAGAAGGCGTTTAAGATTTTGCGCGCGCGGATCTACGAGGGACTGCGCGCGGAGGCGCACCGCGAGCGCGCGGATCAGCGGAAGAGTTTGATCGGCAGCGGCGATCGGAGCGAGCGCGTTCGGACGTACAACTACAAGGACGGCAGGGTGAAGGACCACAGGGTGAACGCGCAGGTGAACGATTTGGAAGGGCTGCTGAACGGCGGCGACGCGTTGTCGGACATCGTGGACGCGTTGCGAACGGAAGAGAAGCGCCGGGCGCTGCTCGAGTTCAAGCCGTGACGAGAGGTACAACAGTGCGTAATAGGCGTTATATGATATCGTAATAGGCGTAATATGATATTCCAAAAACCACGCGAATACATAGTACAGCAGTGGTGTGGAGTAGTAGATGTTAAGATGTTAGCGGTGTCGCGTGAGCGGTGCGCGCGGTGGCCGTCGTTCACGTCTTATTAGTTCTTCTTCTTCGCGGCGGCCACCTTCTTCGCCGCCGGTTTTTTTTGTTTTTCCGTCGTCGTCTTGCCCTCCATGATGAAGTTCCTGCCGATGAACTTCAAGACTTCGTCGATGAGCCACACCGGCGCCGCGCACGCGCACACGAGCGCCCACTCGTTCGCGTCCAGCGGCACGATGCTGAAGATGGTCGCCAGCGCGGGGACGTACAGGATCAAAAAGTGCAACGCGAAGGATGAAAACATCGCCACCATCAGCCACGGATTTATCCACGGCGGCATGACGAAGAGAGAGATGTCCTATGCGAGCGAACGTCGGGGTGGAGTTGAAAGGCGTCAGTTGGCGTTGAAAGGCGTCGAGGGCGGGGATTGAAAGCGAGGGAAGATAGAACGCACCTCGCTCAGAGCGTTGCACGCGTTGAACATCTCGATGACGACGAGCGTCGTGAGCGATAGCGTGCTCGCTTTCGCTTTGCCCTCGGTGAAGTAGTCGCACTTGTTCGCGGGAGAGGTGTAGTCGAAGGTGGCGCCCCCCGCCGAGTACTTCCCGCCCTTAAACGACGATCCCCACGACGCGCAATCGCCCCAGTGCGAGAGCTGATGCCACGTCACCGTGGTGTGGCCGTCCCCGGACAGGTCGATCCCGAGGAACGAGCTGCGTGTGTACCACACCGCGAAGACGCCGACGGTCGCGGCGCCGACGTAGAGGCCGACGACGAGGTACCTGACGAGCGCCCACGCGGAGATGAGATCCTCGTCCTTCTTGCGCGGCGTCTTGGTCATGATGTCGACGTCCGGCGGGTTGAACCCGAGCGCCGTCGCGGGCGGGCCGTCCGTGACGAGGTTCACCCACAGCAGCTGCACGGGGATCAGACCCTCCGGCATTCCGAGCGCGGCGGTGAGGAAGATGGAGACCACCTCGCCGACGTTGCTGGAGATCATGTACCGAATGAACGCCTTCATGTTGTTGTAGATTGAGCGTCCCTCGGAGATGGCGTCGACGATACTACTAAAGTTGTCGTCGGCGAGCACCATGTCGGACGCCTCCTTCGCGACCGCGGTGCCGGTGATCCCCATCGCGATGCCGATGTCCGCGAGCTTCAGCGCGGGCGCGTCGTTCACGCCGTCGCCAGTCATCGCGACGATCTCGCCGCGCTCCTTCAGGAGACGCACGATGTCTTGCTTATGCTTCGGCTCGGCGCGAGAGCACACGCAGCCGCCGGGGGCGGTCAACGCGGCGAACTGCTTCGCCTTGGTCATCGCGCCAAACTCGCGCCCGGTGAACGACCGTCCCGCGACGTCCTCCGCGGAGTCGAAGACGCCGATGTCGACGCAGATCGCCTCCGCGGTGAGCCGGTTATCGCCGGTGATGACGACGACGCGGATCCCCGCGCTCGCGCACGCGGCGACGGCGCCCCTCACCTCGGGCCGCGGAGGGTCTCTCAACCCGGCGAGGCCGACGAACACGAGGTCGCTCTCGATCGCGGCGTACCCGCTCGCGTCCGCGAGACTCGCGTGCGCGGCGTGGGTCGTCGCGCCGTCGTACGACGCGAGCGCGCCGAGGGACGCGCCCGATTTGGTCGCCAACGCGAGGCATCGAAGCGCGTCGGCGCTCATCGTCTCCGCGCGTTTCACGACGGCGGCGCGCGCCGCCTTCGTCAGCGGCACGACGTCGCCGTTCGGGAGCTGGACGAAAGCGCAGCGCTCGAGGACGTGCTCGGGCGCGCCCTTGACGAGGAGCTCGTTGGCGTTGGCGTTCGCCTTGCCGCCGCCCGTCGGCGCGATCACGACGCTCATGGATTTGCGGTCGCGGTCAAACTCCAGCGTCGCCATCTTCTTGAAGTCGTCGTCCTTCGTCTTCGCGCCGCGCTCGAGCTTCGACGCGAGCACGCGGAGCGCGCCCTCCGTGGGCTGCCCCGCGCACTTCGCGTGCCCGTGCGCGTCCATCTCGATCACCGCGTCGTTGCAGCCGCGGCACACTTTGCTCACCGCGGCGAGAGACGCGTCCAACGGCTTGGACTTCGTCGGCTTCGGCGCGCCGACGACGGCGCCGTCGCTCGCGTCGTACGACGTCCCGGTGACGTCGTACGTCTTGAGGACGTCCGGTTTGATCGTGGGCACGACGAGCTTCACCGCGGACATGTTGTTCGTGGTCAGCGTGCCGGTCTTATCCGAGCAGATTACGGACGTGCACCCGAGCGTCTCGACCGATTGCAGCTTGCGAACGATGGCGTTCTTCTTCGCCATCTTCCTCGTCCCGAGCGCGAGGCAGGTGGTGATGACCGCGGGCAAGCCCTCCGGGATCGCCGCGACCGCGAGCGCGACGGCGATCTTGAAGTAAAACGTGCACTTGGCGAAGTTGAACTCGACGTCGTACGGAACGAAAGACCCCGGCGCGCGCTTCCACGAGATGAAAAACTGGTAATTCATGAGCCAAACGAAGAGGCACACGAGCCCGATCCCCCACGTGAGCTGGTCCCCGAACCGGTCCAGCTTTTGCTTCAGCGGCGTGTCCTCCTCCTCCTCGCTCGCCGCCTGGATCTGCGCCTGGATCTTACCAATCTCGGTTCGCATCCCGGTGTGCGTGACGATCGCGACGCACGCGCCTTGCGACGCCGCGGTGCCTCCGAAGAGCATGCACCCCTTCGCCTGCAGCTCCGCGTCCGGGTCGTCGATCGCGTCGATATCCTTGTTCACCGCGACGGACTCCCCGGTCAGCGACGCTTGCTCGAGTCGGATCGTCGCTGTCTTCAGGGTGACGACGCGCGCGTCCGCGGGGACGCGGTCGCCCGTGCGCACCTCCACGACGTCCCCCGGGACGAGATCTCGCGCTTGGAACGCGTGGTCCCACTTGCCGTCGCGAAGCACCCGCGCGGTGTCCGACTGCATCTCTTTGAGCGCCTCGAGCGCGTTCTCCGCGTTCGATTCCTGCCACACGCCGACGATGGCGTTGAGGATCAAGATGAGGAGGATGACGCCCGGCTCGACGAAGTCCACGAGATCTATCGGCGCGCCCGGCGCGCGATCTTCGACCCACACGAGCGCGAACGACACCGCGGCGGCCGCGAGCAGGATCTTTACGAGCGCGTCGTCGAACTGCTCGAGCACGAGCTTCCACAGCGGCTTGCCGTCCTCCTTGTCGAGCTCGTTCGGGCCGTGTCTCGCGAGCGCGTCGCGCGCGGCGGCGGACGTCAGACCGTTGGCGGGATCGACGCCGTGCGCGGACGCGACGTCGGACGCGGACGCGGCCCACGGCGCGGCGAGGGCGGAGGCGGCGGACGCGCCCTTCTTGGCCGCGGTCGCCTTCGACGGCGTCTTGCCTTTCTTGGGAGGCATGGTCGATGGACGCGAGCGACGACGCGGCGAGCGCGCGGCGATGTGGAGCCCGCGTCGACGGGCGGATCTCGAACCTCGATATTCGTCCCCCCGCGGCAGAGGCATCGGCAGGCTTTCGAAGAATTCCGAAAGTCGTCCTGCTGCAAAATACAGTATTCATACTATTTGCGCATACAGTACTGTACTGTACAAATCGTCCATCGCGATCGCTAACAACGACGCGGCGGGCGTCGTCTTGTCAGTATGACGACGCGCGCGCTGCTGCAACCGTGCGCTCTCCTCGGTCGCCGTCTCCGCGCCCGCGCCGCGTCCGTCGTCGTCGTCGTCGCCGCCGCGTCGGCCTCGTCGCCGCCGCCGCCTTCCCTCCCTTCCTCCTCTCGGCGTCGTCCGAGTCGCGCGCGGCGCCGGGGCGCGCGCGGTCGTCTCGTCGATCGGTCGTCGAACCCTACGACGACGGCGGAAATCCAGTGGCCCGACGTCCGCGCGCGTTCGTCGTCGTCGATGGCGTCCTCCTCCTCCTCCGCGCCGCTCGTCGTGACGTTCGTGACCGGGAACGAGAACAAGCTCAAGGAGGTCCGCGCGATCCTGGGCGCGGACGACGGCGGCGGCGGCGGCGGCGCGGGCGCGGCGGGCGCGTCGGACGTCGCGTCGACGTTCGCGCTCCGATCGCAAAAGGTGGACCTCCCGGAACTCCAGGGCGAGCCCGAAGACATCGCGGCGGAGAAGGCCAAGCTCGCCGCGCGCGCCGTCGGCGGGCCGACGCTCGTGGAGGACACGTCGCTGTGCTACGTCGCGCTGAAGGGGCTCCCGGGGCCGTACGTCAAGTGGTTCCTGGACAAGCTCGGGCACGAGGCGCGTCGCGCGTTGGTCCCCGTACGACGCCGTTCGCGACGTGATGATCGCCGTTCCTCGAGGACTTTACATCCTGGCGCCCTCTCCGTCGCGCTCTGTCGTCCAATGAAACCTCCACGTCATCAAACAAAATCAAAATACTAACCAATCGCATCACCTCCCGCCACATCACCCACCGATCAGGGTCTCTGCAAGCTGTTAGCCGGGTACGAAGACAAGCGCGCGTACGCGCAGTGCGTCTTCGCGTACGCGGAGGGACCCGCGGACGAACGCCCGAGAGTGTTCGTGGGACGGACGGACGGGAAGATCGTGGACGCGCGCGGGCCGAGCGACTTTGGGTGGGACCCGGTGTTTCAGCCGGAGGGGCACGAGGAGACGTACGCGGAGATGGACAAGGCGGTGAAGAATTCGATCTCGCATCGGTACCGCGCGCTGGAGAAATTCCGCGCGTTCATCGTCGAGAAGACGTCGGGATAGGGATCGGGATAGGGTCCGCGAACGCGTTCTCTATCTAGTAGCGGCGCGCGATAGAGCGCGGTTCAGAACAGCCCGCGGAAGAGTTTCATCTCGACCCACCGCCAGAAGTCCAGCCACTCCCGAAGCGGCTTCGCCCTCGACGTCAACGTCCTCTTCATCTTCTTCTTCTTCGAATCCGCGTCCGCGTCGTCCGCGTCGTCGTCGTCCGCGTCGTCGTCGTCGTCGTCGTCTATTTCTTCTCGCTCTTCGCGCGCGTTCACGAGCGCCGTCACCGCCGCTCGCAGCGGAAGTCCCCCCGCGGCGATCGCCGCGCACCACCCCCACTGCTCCGCCGTCAGCGGCGACGTGTGAAACGCCGCGCCGCCCTTCTGCGCGTCGAGGGTCCGCGAGGGTGTTTGCCCATACGAGGCGACGCCGGGGCGGGCGGAGTCGAAGGGCGTCAGAAGCGGAGTCGCGAGGCGTCGAGGCGCGTCGGGAGTGAAAGCGAGGCGTGCGCGGAGAGAGACGACCGCCGGGAGATAATAAAAGTCCTTAAGGAACGGCGTGCGCCACGCCGACGCGGTCGTATGGGGACCGGTGTGGAAATAGAACGAACGCGCCTGCACGATGAGCGCCTGCATCGCCACCTCGCACAGCAACATCGCGGTGAACGTCGCGTTCTTTTCAATCCCTCGAAACACGTTAAACGTCGCGTCGTTCGCGACGCGGCAGTTGATCTGATTCACGAGCTGCGACAGCACGAACGCGTTGAAGACGAGGGTGTAGTGCGTCGTGGGCGGCGCGAGCGAGCCGTACGCGCCTCGGCCGCTGTCGACGCGGAACCACGCGTCGCCGTAGGCGACGAGGCACGTCATCGCCGCGAGCTGATACGTCGCCTGCGACGCGACGTGCCAACGCATCCGCGGCGTGATGATCGACGCCTCGGACGAGCACGGCGGCCGCGATAACAGCGCGTCCGTCGGCGCGTCCGTCGCGAGCGCGAGCCCCGCGAGCGAGTCCATGATGAGGTTTAGCCACAGCATCTGCGTCGCGGTGAGCGGGGACTCGCCGATGAGCAGCGCGCCGACGGAGGCGGTCGCCACCGCGGCGACGTTCACCGTGAGCTGAAAGGTGAGAAATTTTTGAATCGACTCGAACACGTTGCGCCCCCACCGCACGGCGCTCACCGCGGAGGCGAAGTTGTCGTCCAGGAGGAGGATGTCGCACGCGTCCTTCGCGACGGTGGTGCCGCACACGCCCATCGCGAAGCCGACGTCCGCGTCTTTCAGCGCGGGCGCGTCGTTCGTGCCGTCGCCGGTCACGGCGACGACCTCGCGGCCGCCGCCGCCTCTTCCTCTTCCTCTTCCTCCGCCGCGTTCGCGTTCGCGTTCTTTTTCGAAGCGTTTCGATCGCATGATGCCCGTCGCGAGCGCGTACTTGTCTTCCGGGGACGACCGCGCGAGGACGCGGAGTCTCGGCCACACCGCGTCCATCCTCTCCTGATCGACCGCGCCGGTGACCGGGTCGCGCGTGCGCGCTCTGAACGCCTCGCCGTCCATCGCCACGCCATCCAGAGACGCCTTCTCGTCGTCGCCGTCGCCGTCGCCGTCGCCGTCGCCGCCGCGCGCCGGTGCCGGCGGAAGGATCCCGCACCCGCGCGCCACCGCCACCGCGGTCGGCAGCGAATCCCCGGTGACCATGCGCACGCAAATCCCCGCGCGCTGGCACCGCGCGATCGCGCCGGGGACCTCCGGGCGTATCGGATCCTCCAGACCGATCCCGGCGAGGAGCGTGAGGCCGCGCTCCGCCGCGGCCACCGCGTCGTCGCCCGAGCCCGAGGGTCGAGGGTCCATACGAAGCGAACGTCGGGGTGGAGTTGAAAGGCGTCAGTTGGAGGAGTTGAAAGGCATCGAGGTGTGTCGGGATTGAGAGCGAGGGGCGGGCGGAGAGAAACGCGCGCGGGAAGGAAAGTCCTTGAGGATCGGCGTGCACCACGCCGACGCGGTCGTATGGGGACCAGTGTGAGATAGAACGCACCCGAGGCGGACGCGCGCAACGTCGAGGGGTCGAACCCGGACTCGAAGTCTTTGAACGCGACGACCATGACGCGGACGCCGCGCTTCTCCCACTCGAGCGAGCTCGCTCGGAACGCGTCGAGTTCCAGCGGCTCGATCGCGACGCCGTCGCGCGCGAGCTGCGAGTCGCACAGCGAGAGGACGTCCGCGGCTGCGCCTTTCACGTAGACGCGGTAGCGCCCTCCGCGGCGCTCGCCGCGTTCGCATTCGCGCTCGTCGATGAGGGCCGTTCTATACAAGCGAATGTCGGGGTGGAGTTCATAGGCGTCAGTTGGCTTTGAAAGGCATCGAGGTGTGTCGGGATTGAAAGCGAGGGATGAGCGGAGAGAAACGCCGGGCAAAGTCCTTAAGGATCGGCGTTCACCACGCGAACGCGGTCGTATGGGAACCAGTGTATAGAACGCACCTGATCTTCTCGTCGTCGTCGACGTCGACGTCGTCTGGCGTCCACGCGAACGAGCACATCCGCTTCCTCGCGGACGTGAACGGCAGCACCTTATCCACGACGCACGCGTCTCTTCGCAGCTGCGCGTACCCTCGGTCGCGCATGAGCCCCGTCGCGAACTGCAAAAGCGCCGTCTCCGTCCTGCTGCCGCGGCGTTCAACTTTGGGTCGAGGGTCCGTCGTTCAAAGCGACGTCGGGGTGGAGTCGACGGGTGTCAGATGGAATGGAGGAGAAGTTGAAAGGCGTCGCGCGCGGTGTGTCGGGAAGATTGAAAGCGTGGGGTGCGCGGAGAGAAACGGCACGCCGGGAGAGAAAGTCCTTAAGGAATGAAGTTCACAACGCGAACGCGGTCGTATGAGGACCAGTGCGACTGGGACGCGACGCGCCTTTTTGTTCCCCCGTGGCCTCGTCGACGTCCACGACGGTGAACCGCGCGGTGGAGTTGACGCATATCGCGCTCGCGAGCTCCCGCCACAGGCGCGCGTCGTCAGCCTCGGCCTCGACGTCCGACGTCGCGGCGATCGCGGCGATCGCGCGGTGGGGAGCGACGTCGATATCTTCCCAGGTCGAGTCCGGGTCGATCCACGTCTCGTTCGGGTCGGCGTCGGAGGACCCCAACGACTCGTCCGGCCAACGTTCTCGCGCGAATCGTAACGACCGATCGATGGCCGTTTCTTGCTGCAACATCGCATCCTCGCACCCGCACACCGCGTACGTGTCGCTCAAGCATCCGACGTCGCCCTCGACGCACCGCTCGAGGAACGGCCCGCGCGACCTCCCCGCGGCCCAGACCCGAGACACGGTCATCTCGTTTCGCGTCAACGTCCCCGTCTTATCGCTCAGAATCGTCGTCGCGCCGCCCATGGTCTCGCACGCGCCTAAATACCGCACGAGGTTGTTATCGTCGAGCATGCGCCGCACGCTGAACGCGAGCGCGAGCGTGACCGCGAGCGGGAGACCCTCCGGGACGGCGACGACGACGATCGTGACGCCCTGGATGAAAAAGTGCACGTAGTCGTTGAGATACGCCCACTCCCACGTCGCCGCGGTCGCGACGTCGCCCGCGCCGAGCCCGCCGAGGAACGTCCGCTGCGTGAACGACGCGGAGAGGATCAGCGTGCAGCTCGCGCCGGCGAAGAACCCGACGCGCCCGATGTCGCGCGCGAGCGTCTCGAGCTTGGACTGCAGCACCGTCTTCGTCTTCGAGGACCCTGAGGGTCGTTCCATACGAAGCGAACGTCGGGGTGGAGATCAAAGGCGTCGGTTGGAGTTGAAAGGCGTCGAGGGCGGGGATCGAAACCGTGGGGTGGGCGGAGAGATGCGCCGGGAAAAGTCCTTAAGGATCGGCGTTCACCACGCCGACGCGGTCGTATGGTAACCAGTGTAAGGAGAACGCGCCTAAGCCTCCTCCGGCCGCCGCCGCCGCCGCCGCCGCCGCTTCGGTCGACGCGAGCCTCCTTCTGTCGTCGTCGTCGTCGTCGTCGTCGCTGCGTTCAGTTTCCATCCCGCCCTCCCCTTCCTGCGCGCGGACCAGCTTCGTGATGAGCCCCATCTGCGAGTTCATCCCGACGGCGACGACGAGCGCGGCGCACCGGCCTTGAAGGACTTTCGATCCCGACAGCAACACCGGCGACGCGTCCGCGCTCTTCCGCACGTCTTCGCTCTCGCCCGTCATGTGCGACTCGTCCACGACGACGTCGGAGATGGTCTGGATCAGGACCGCGTCCGCGGGGACGACGTCGCCGGCCTCGAGGAGGATCACGTCCCCGACGAGGAGCGACGCGTTTGGTACTGCAACGCGCGGGGACGGAGGAGGAGGAGGCGTCGGACCAAAAAAAGAAAGGGCTGCGCGAGAGAAAAAAAAGAAAGAGAAAGGACGCGCGAAGAAGCCGCCGTACCTATCACCTCCGCGCCGTCGCGGCGCGCGAGCGTCGTCTCCGTGCTCTCCGCGACCGCGTTCAGCGCTTCGAACTGCGCTTGCTTCTGGTAGTCGTTGATCGCGGTCACGGTCGCGACGACGGCGACGGCGCCGAGTATCGCCGCGCCCTCGACCCACCCCGCGGCGGCGTCGGACGCCACGGTGTCGGGCGCCACTGTGTCCGACAACATGTCCGACACCGAACCGCCGTCCGACACCGAGCCGCGCGAGAGCGAGAGCTGCAGCGCGAGCGACGTGACTCCCGCGGCGACGAGCACGCGCAAGGTCTCGTCCTGTTCGAAGACACGTCGCGGTCAGCATCTGGGTGGTTGAGCGAAAAAAAAATTCCCCTCCTCTGTTCACAGCTAACAGCACCCACCTGAAGCGCGTCGCTCACGAGCGCGAGGAACGACCGCGGCGGCTTCGCCGGGACCTCGTTCGCGCCGAACCGCGCGCGTCGCGCGCGCGCGTCGTCGTCGTCGTCGCCGCCGCCGCCGCGTCGGCCGTCCTCGACGCGCACGCGCAGCGCGGTCGCGAGGCCGTAAGCGCCGCCGAAGCGCGCGAGCGCGTCGACGCGGCCGCGGCCGGGGGAAGCCTCGACGAGCGCGCGAAGCGCGCGCGCGTCGACGTCGAAGTCGTCTGGCGACGCCGCGGACGCGAAGAGAGGACGCGGCGCGGGCGCAGTCGCGGCGGCGGCGTCGTCGAAGACGTCGTCGCGGCTCGACAGCGCGCGCGCGCGGACGACGCGCGCGCGGCGTCTTCGGTCGTGGCTTCTGTGGAGAGACGACGACGTCGACGCGGGGACGACGAGGGACGAGGACGCCGCGCGGGGCGTCGGCGTCGGCGCGGCGACGGCGTCGGCGACGGCGGCGCGGCGAGGACGAGGCGCGCGCGCGCGCGCGAGGACGCGCGGCGGATGCGGCGCGCGAGCGAGGAGGCGCATCGTGGAGTGCGCGACGAGCGCGCGCGCGCGCGCGGCGTCGTGCGGTGGCGTCGTCTCCGCCGATGTTTTATCTTTCTGTTCGCGCCTTTTTTTCGTCCCGTCCCTTCGTTTCCCCGCCACTTCGTTTCCCCGCGCCGTCCCCACCAGCGCGCGATCGATCGATCCCGCCACCTCTCGCCCGCGCGCGATGCCGAAGCGCGAGCGCGAGCGCGAGATCGAGACCCCGACGTCCGCGCGATCGCTCGGGCCCGTCCTCGACCGCCTCCCGCGCGGCGTGTTCGACGGGGAGATACTGCGGCGTTCTATCTCACACTGGTCCCCATACGACCGCGTCGGCGTGGTGAACGCCGATCCTTAAGGACTTTGCCCGTCGTGTCTCTCCGTCCACCCCTCGCTTTCAATACCCACCCTCGGCGCCTTTCAACTTCAACCGACGCCTTTGAACTCCACCCCGACGTTCGCTCGTATAGAACGGCCCGGAGTCGACGATCTTCGCGAGGAGGCGGACGAAAGTTGGCACGCCGCCGACGAAAGTTGGCACGCCGCCGACGAAAGTTGGCACGCCCCCGCGCCCGCCCCCGCGCGGCGGCGACCGGTGCGCGCGCGAGGACGCGAGGGTTCTGCGCGCGGGCTCGAGCTGGGACGCGCGCGAGGACGCGCGGCTGCGGCGCGAGAGGAACGCGGGGTGGGATATCGCGCGGATGGCGTGCGAACACGGGCGGTCGCGCGGCGCGATTCGATCGCGGCTGCGGCTGCTCGACGGCGGCGGCGGCGGGAAGCGTTGACGCCGTGAGACTGGTTCCCATACGACCGCGTTCGCGATGTGAACGCCGTTTCTTAAGGACTCGGAGACGCGACGCACAGCAGCGCGTCCCCAGCTAGCTACAACGTTAAGGTAGTCATTAAAGTCAACTAATTCTTCTTCGCCTTCAAGTTCGCCCGCAGCTCAGTCATCCGCGACTGGAGCGCGTCTTTCTTCGCCGTCGTCGCCGTCGTCGCCGTCGTCGCCGTCGTCGCCGTCGTCGCCGTCTCCGTTTTCATCAGCCTGTTTCGACCCCAATCGCTTCAACAGCTTTTTCCGCGCCTCTTCACGTTCGCCCTCGATATTGCCCTCGATAACTTTCATCCTCTCGAGCGCCCTATGTGACTCCGCGACCATCTCGAGCAAATCGTCTTGCACGATGGTAGCGGTGTCGACGTCGGCGTCGTTCACCTCGACTCCGTGAAGCAACCGAAGGGTCGTCGCGTGCTGCACCTCCGCGGCCTCGATAGTTCTACGCATGCGCTCGCGCGACAAAGATGCGAAGTCCATCGCGACGTTGAGGTTCGCGTGCGCCCTCGCGGAAGTCATCGCCGCTTTCCAGCGCGTCTTCACTATGGAATCGATCGGCAACGGCACGAACGAATCGTCGTCGTTCCCTTGATCGGTATGTGGCGGCGGGAGATGCGGCGGCGGTGCCGGCGCTGGTGGTATCGGCGCGACTTTCGCGCTGGCGCCTCTCGGCGCGATGGCGGCGGCAGCCTTCGAGCCGTCCGCGTTGCGCTCGAGTAAAACGCCGCCGACGCGTTCGAGGTACGCTTCGTACCACGCGTTCAGCTCGAAATGCGGCGTGAACATTTTTCGCCAGGTGTTGTAGAACGTCTTGTAGAACGCTTTCCTTCCGACGATCACCAACGATAAGAGACCAAAGTTGACGAGCAAAAACGTCATCCCCCACGTCGTGATGTACGCACCCTCCTCCCCGGCGCCCATGTATCGATATATCAAAACGCCGTAGACGATGATGAGGTAGCAGCACACGAGCCAGTACAGCGCGAAGAGGCACCACGCGAGCTTCAACACGCGCGAGGAGCTCGTTTTAACTCTTCGAAGGTATTTCCTGCGCTCCGATCTCATATCATCTTGCGAGAACGTACGCGTCGCGCGACGCACCGCGTCTTTCTCTTGGGATGCGATCCAGCGAAGGACGACCTCCTTTTGCCGGCTTTTACCACCGGCGTCGTCGTCCACGTGTTCGCGGTCTACTCCTTCCTCCAACCGCGAAGTGTCGTCTTTAAACGGCTTCGTCACGTGATGGCCGCCGAACGCGACCTCCTTGTCTTCGCCGATCTTCATATGGGCCCACGGTTTCACGAAAGATTCTGAGGGCCATTCCATACAAAAACAGTTCTCCGGTCAGTTGAAAGGGGATGCGATCAAGTGTTGAAACCGGGCGATGGGTGAAAAACTTTTGTATAGAACGCACCTGAGCCGTCGAAAAAATGGAAATCAACAGCTCTGCTCCGCCGCACAAATGGAGGCGCGTCCCGGTCCGTCGTCGCGACGTCGGCGCTTCGCGCGAGCGCCTCGATCTCGCCCGTTATCTCCTCGACGGTACGGTACTTCCTTCGTGGCGCACCTTTGCACGTGGAGGACACCGCCTTCGACGTCGCGCGAGCGCTCTGGTACAACCCGCACATCTCGAGCGTACGCTTCACCGCGGCCCCGAACGTCCCTGCGTGGGTGAAGCGATCGGTCAGTCGAACGTCTTACCGGTCAAACGTTGAAAGGGAAGCGCGGGCGAAGAGTGACGACGGCAAAAGTCCTTAAGGATCGGCGTTCACCACGCGAACGGGGTCGTATGGGAGGCAGTCTCACCCCCGCGTTCGCTCGCCGCGGGCGCGCCCGATCCCGCGTTTGTGACGAACTCGTATAAGGATTCACACCACGAGGCTAAAACCTCCGCGGTGTTCATCCCCGCCTTCATCACGGATTCCTTGTAGTGCGGCGCGGAGACGCTGGCGCCGCCCAACGCGAACAACGAGCTCAGGACGAAACGCGTCGGGAGCGATATGATCACCTGTACATACGTATCCATACAAATACAGTTCATCGGTCAGTTGAAAGGGACTCACGCGATCGATCAAATGTTGAAACCGGGCGATGGGTGAAAAACAAACTTTCGATCAAATGTTGAAACCGGGCGATGGGTGAAAAACAAACTTTCGATCAAATGTTGAAACCGGGCGATGGGTGAAAAACAAACTTTCGCAACAAACGCACCTGAATCCCGATCACCGCGAACGTGTGCCGGAGGTTGCCTCTCACCGGGAACGCGTCGCACTTCCACTTCGGCGGGAGCAACCGTCTCGTCGCGCGCATCAACACGACGCACCCTTCCCCGGGATCGACGTTTATGCACGCGTCCATGATGTTCGGCGTGCACCCGAGCGCTTCGCGCACGGCGACGCAACACTGCGTCGCGCGGCTCGAATACATCCACACGCAGATGAGCAGTCCCATGAGGTAGATGGACGACTGCACGAAGAGGCGCTGCGCGCCCGTAAATTGCGCCGTCGCCGGCGCGAGAAACGCCCTGAAGAACATGTGCGCTTCGCAGTACGCGTGTACGATGAACTTCAAGAACGCCCACGCCGCGTGCGCGAAGAGCATCGGACGCGTGAGCCAGAACCAAATCGCCGCGAGGGCGACGACGACGATCGGACGCGTTTTTTTTTCTTCGTCTTTTTTCTTCTCCGCCGCCTCCGCGATCCGCCGCTCGCGTAACCCTTCGATCGCGTCCGAATGCGACTCGCGCCACGCCGTGACCGCAATTTTCGCCGCGTTTCTCCCGCGCAACACCGCGTCCGCCATCTCCGGGGACGTTCCCGCGAGGTTCTTCTGAACGAACGTCCACCCGTGCTGCGCGATGTCGTACGGCTCGAACGATTCGTCCCACGGGTTTACGACCCATCCCAACTCGTATATTTCGCACGCCGCCAACGCGAGCAGCGTGCACCACGTCCTCTCCACCCTCCTCCAACCGACATCGCGCGCGGCTTTCGCGAGCTCGAGTGGGACACCGCGCGTTAACACCGCGGCGTCGTGATGGCTCTTCAGCGTCGGCGCGTCGCTACCCGTCGCGGGCATGGACGCGCACGCGGTGGGCGGGCCCGCGGCTTTCAACGCCGCCTGCGTGGGTGAAGCGATCGGTCAGTCGAACGTCTTACCGGTCAAACGTTGAAAGGGAAGCGCGGGTGAAGAGAGACGACGGGAAAAGTCCTTAAGGAACGGCGTGCACCACGCGAACGGGGTCGTATGGGAAGCAGTCTCACCGCGAGCGCGTCGGTGGGGGACCACCCGCCGTCTTTGCCTCGTAACGACACGATGTTCCACAGCATCGCGCGTCGCGTCCACCCGACCTTCTTCAGGTTGTTCGTCATCATCAGTTTGAACTCCTCCACGAGGGTCGGGAACGTGAGGCCGTCGGGGAGGTACCACGGGAGCTGCGCGGCGTCGTACTTCCGTCGACCGATTTCGTCGTGCGAGACGACGTTGTTCACGTCCAGGTAGGCGTACGCCATCGCGGTGCCGACGGCTCTACCGAAGGGCAGGACCGCGGTGATTTCGGTGTTATGTATGTTCCGGTCGTCGCGCCATTCCTTGAGTTTCTTTCGGAATTGCTCCATCGGGAACGCGATGAGGAATCGGACGTACGGGAGACCGCATGCTTTGCAAAACGTCTCGCCGTTTCGCGTCGCGACCGGAAGCGCCGCGGCGGTTATTTTCTCCGGCGGCGGCGGCGGACGACGACTCGAAAACCGACGCCACGTCATCCCGCCGCCTTCGCCTTCGCGTCGAGAGATCTTCCGGATCTTCGCGAACGTCATCGGAGCCGAATCCGGAGGCGCGTTCGAGCGACCCGCTCGCTTCTCGTTCATCGCGGTCACTCCCTCGTCGTCGCCGTCTCCTTTACGGCTGGTAAAAGTCCTCAAGGAACGGCGCGCGCCGCACGAACGGGATCGTGCGAGAAGCGGTCTCGTCGTCGTCGTCGCCTCCTCCTCCGAAGCCGCGAACACACGCGGCGCCCAGCCGCGTCTTTGCTTCACGGGAACGAGTCCCGCGTCCCCCCTCGAGGAGCGACTCGGAGCCTCCTCCGAGATCTCGACAGCCTCGACGACGGCTCGGGCGGCGGCGGACTGTTTGCTCATACGCGCTTCTCGTTCGTCCCCGGGCCCTTCTATTTCTGTGCCATCTTCTTCTCTCGCGTCGCGGGTCGCCGCCCGCGCCGTTTGGTGAACGCGCGTTCCTCTCGCCTCCGACGACTCGAACGATTCGGCCGTCGACAGCTCGTAAAACGTTCGCCCTCCGCGCGCGTACACTTCGACGCCGACGCGACCGCCGCGCGTCACGACGTCGGCGCCGACGGCGTCGTCGATCTCCGCGTCCAACTCCGTCGTCGCGCGGTCCACAGCCTCTGGGTCCACCCCCGCGGCGACGAGTCGGTCCGTGGGCATCTTAAGGTCGTTCCATACGAAGCGACGACGTCATCAGGATCAGGGTGGAGTTCAAAGGCGTCAGAAGCGGAGTTGAAAGGCGTCGAGGTGCGTGCGTCGGGATTGAAACCCACCGGGGCATCCTGGGCTAAGAAAAAAAAACGCGCGCGCGCGGGAAAAGTCCTCGAGGAACGGCGCTGGTATCGGCGCCGACGCGGTCGTATGGGCACCCGCGTATGGTGAGACGCGCCTTTTCGCACGAGGGCAACCCCGCGATCGTTCGAGCCCCGCGTTTATACTCCTCCACGCGGCGTTCGACCGCGCGCGCGACGTCCGCCGCCGCGGCGTCGCCTTCGACGCCCTCGCGTTCGAGTTCGAGCATCCGCCTCCGCGTCTCCAACTTTGACGCCGCCGCCGCGTCGTAGTCGCCTTTGGCGTCGTGAGAAGCGAGAAGCGCGGCGGCGACGGCGTCTTCGTCGTTCGCGCGGTGCGTGGCGTTGAACATGAACTGCATCTCTTGGACGTCGATGTGCCACGTCCAAACGCGTTGGACGACGGCGAAACCCAAGTCGCGATTTTTCGCGGGGTCGACGAGACGTCTGATGAGGGCCATTCCAAAACAGTTCATCGGTCAGTTGAAAGGGGCCCACGCGATCAAAGGTTGAAACCGAGCGATGGGTGAGAAGTATATTTTTGTATAGCAGAACGCACCTGAGCAGCCTTCGCTTGCCGAGCGTCGCTCTCAAGTGAAGCGCGGACGCCAAGAGCAAGGACCCGAAGAACATCCCGCCGACGACGGCGAGAACGCGCCACGTGTTCAGAACGTCCCCGGTGGAAAGAGACGTGAGCTCGTCGAGGGAAACGGTGTCGATCTTGTACTCGGATACGGTCACGTCGGCGACGCGATCGCACAGGCACGTCGCCGCCGCCGCGACGACGCAACCGCATCCTTCAAACGCTTGCGCGTCGTACCGCCAATAACAACCGAACGCGTTGTTTGGATCTTCCGCGACGCAGTTCTTGCCCGTCCACGACCGCATGCGCATCGCGCCGCCTCGAACCTCGCGCTCCTCGCATCCGTTCAAAAACGTCTCGGCGCCGTCAAGTTTCCACAGAAACGACGCGTGCGTTCGCGAGTAGTCGTACCCCGCGCTCTGAAACGCCGCGGTGTTCTCCGCCGCGCCTTCGATCCACGCCGCGCGCGCGCCGCGAGGGAGCGGGTTCGGTAGCGTCGCGCAGCCGTCGGTCTCGTACCTTGCGCGGCGTTCCATACGAGCGATGATATCGGGGTGGAGTTCAAAGGCGTCAGAAGCGGAGTTGAAAGGCGTCGAGGGAGGTGTGTCGGGATTGAAACCAGCGAGGTGTGATGGGCGGAGAGAAACGAACGCCGGGAAGTAAAGTCCTTAAGGATCGGCGTTCACCACGCGAACGCGGTCGTATGGGGACCTGTGTGAGATGGAACGCGCCTGCCCTTCGCGGCGTCGAAAAATCTGCACGCGTACTTGTCCCCGCCGCCTCTCGTCGGTCCGCGTCCTCCTCCTCCTGCGTGGGTGAAGCGATCGGTCAGTCGAACGTCTTACCGGTCAAACGTTGAAAGGGAAGCGCGGGTGAAGAGTGACGACGGGAAAAGTCCTTAAGGAACGGCGTTCACATCGCGAACGGGGTCGTATGGGAAGCAGTCTCACCTCCAGCCGCGCACGTGTCCGCCCCGGGTCGCGCGCGGCGAACCGCGAGCTTCCACTCCACCGGTTTCGCGGGATCGCGTATCTCCACGTCCGCCGCGCCCGCGCCGACGGACGACACGACGAGCGACTCCGTCGCGGCGACGCGCGCGTGTCGCAAGATGATCTCGATGTCGCCGCTGACGCTCGCGACGTACAACGTCTCGGTCGCGCCGTTCAAGCCGTAGGACGAGCTCTGCTGATTCAACGCGTGCGGGTCGAAGTTCATCGACAGCAGTTTAATGTCCATCGTATCCCCGCCCCCGCCCTGAGCGCGCAGCACGTCGTTCGACACGTTGACCGTGGACGCGCCGGAGACGGAGGCGACGGCGCTATCCGTCCCGGTAGCCGCCGTCGCCGCGCGCCGCGCGTTGATTTCCATCTCTGGCGACACGACGCTGATCGTCGGCTCGCCCTCCACCGTGCGATCGAGACATCGCGCCATCATCGTCTTCGCCGCGTCCGTCGCCTTCGCGTACGTCAGCGCGGCGTTTTTATCCCCGTACCCCGGCACCGCGGGCGCGACCGCGGAAGACAGCGCGCCCAACGCGTTGACGCTCACCTCCTCGCTCATGGACAAATCCTGTAACGTCGGGGTGGAGTTGAAAGGCGTCAGAAGCGGAGTTGAAAGGCGTCGAGGTGTGTGCGTCGGGATTGAAAGCGAGGGGTGGGCGGAGAGAGACGAACGCCGGGAAGTAAAGTCCTTAAGGATCGGCGTTCACCACGCGAACGCGGTCGTATGGGAACCAGTGTGAGACAGAACGCACCTTATTCGCCTCCGCGTCCGCGAGCAACGTGTCCACGAGGTCGACGCCCTTACCGCGCGTCTCCGGCGTGGATTCGCACGGGTCCGAGAGGATTCGACGGGCCACGTCCGCGATGCCGCTCGCGAACGAGTCGGACGACGGCATCGTCTTCTTCGCGGACTCCGTGAGATTCATCATCCGACTTCTTTGTTTGGCTCGGTCCCGCATGTCCGACTGCGGCGCGCACGGGTCGTTAAACGGCGACGACGCGGAGACGGACGACGACTCGAGAAGCGCGCGGCCGCGTCGACGCCGGCGACTCTGCGTTTCTTTGAAGTCGAGCATCTGATCGCACGCGTTCGCGATGTGCGACAGCGCGGTCTCGGACTCGCCGTTCAAAAACGCTGAGGGCCGTTCCGTACAAAAAATGAATGTTCATCAGTCAGCGTTTTGAAAAGGGACGCGATCAAATGAATGTTGAAACCGGGCGGTGGGTGAAAAACGTGTGTATAGAACGCACCTGACTCCGCCGCCGCGAGCTTCTCCGCGCTCGCATCGGTCACCGCGCGCTCCGACGGCAGCGTCGGCCATTCCACGACGACGTCGACGGATTTCGCGGGTGAGACCGCGCCGAGTTTATCCATCGCCTGCGCGGACACGGTGACGACGTATCCGTGGTCTCTAGATCCCCCCGGCAGCGTGCCTTTCCACGTCGTCCGCGGGCTGCGGATACGGGCGATTCCGGGTTGGGATTCATGTTCATCGGTCAGTCGGAAGGCGTCTCGATCGATCAAATGTTGAAACCGCTCGTACTGTAGGGCTACTGGGACCTTAATAAATAAGGAATGCGATGGACGGGTGAAAAACGTTTGCACGCGCAGATGGGACGCGCCTGTAGTCTTGAAGCAAGCGCGATTGATGCGCGGGCGCGCCCTTGACGAGCGCGGTGAAGCGTATCATCAGTGGCAAATGGCCGTCCGGGTCGAGCGTTCCATCGCCGACGGCGATCGCGAACGTCGTCTGCGCGGCGACGCCCTTCGCGGGAAGCGCGACGACCATGCCCGCGACTGGCGAAACGTTCCGTCGCAAATCGATCGACGCCTTCGCTGCGCCGTTCGCGTCCGACACGTCGATAGCGAACGCGTACGAATACAGCGTGTCGCCGTCTCTACCGAGAGCGTGGGGGGCTAACACGAGCTTGGACGTCGTCGTGCTATCGATCGCGAGGAAGCCCGCGGCGTCGAGGTCGACGGTCACGGCCGACGCGACGTCGATCGCGCCGGCGGTCGTCAACGCGTACCTTTTCGCGTTGGAGTTGAAAGGCGTCAGAAGCGGAGTTGAAAGGCGTCGATGGCGGGGATCGAAAGCGAGGGGTGGGCGGAGAGACACGCCGGGAAGAAAAGTCCTCAAGGAACGGCGTTCACCACGCCGACGCGGTCGTATGGGGACCAGTGTGAAACGAGAACGTACCTTTTCGCCGTCCACGCCATCGTCCTCGTCTCGCTCGAAGCGGAGGACGTCACCGTCGCGGACAGACGCGCGCGCGATCCCGCGTTCACGACTCCGCCCGGAATCGGCGCGATCGAGACGCTCGGCGAGTTCGGCGCGCCGTTCACGACGTGGACGTACCGCGTCGCCGTCGCGGATCTGACCCCCTTCGACACGGTGACTCGGAAGGCGTAGTACCCGGCGACCGGGGGCGCGAAGTTCGACCACGCCGCGGCGCCGTGACTCCCGCACGGCGTTCCCCCGATCGTGTTCCCCGATGCGCCGGTTTTGATACACTCCCACTGGTACGACCACGGGTTGCTCTCTTCGTCGGGGTCGATGGATTTCGACGCGTCTAGCGTGAACGCGACGCCGAGCGCGAAGACGACGCCGTCGGGGACTAAGGGTCGTTCCATACAAAGCGACGTCGGGGTGGAGTTGAAAGGCGTCAGTTGGCGTTGAAAGGCGTCGCGGTCGGGGATTGAAAGCGAGGGCCCAGGCGCAGAGACACGCCGGGCAAAGTCCTTAAGGATCGGCGTTCACCACGCGAACGCGGTCGTATGGGAACCAGTGTATAGAACGCACCTAACGACCCGCCCTCGACGACGGGCTCGAGCGGGGACGCCTTCACGAATAAGATCACGTTCGCGGACGCGGCGATCGCCGGGTTGCCTTTGCTGAACGTGTCGAAGCGAATCGCGTACGTCCTTCCCTCGGGCAAGGTTCGCGGCGGCAGAAAGAGCTGCCGCGTGTTTGATTTCGTCGTCGACTCTTCGAGCGCGATTTGACTTCCGTCGCTCGTGTCGACGATTCTCCACAGAAATCCGTACCCTTGGTCGTTCGTGCACGTCGGATCCATGTACACGATGTTCGTGACGATCTTATTCTGCAACCCTCTCGCGATCGTGCCGCTCTCTACGGTAGAGACGCCCGTGATGCTCGCGGACATCGTGCACAGCTGTACAAGCGAATGTCGGGGTGGATTTGAAAGGCGTCAGTTGGAGTTGAAAGGCGTCGAGGGCGGGGATTGAAAGCGAGGGGTGGGCGGAGAGAGACGACGGGAAAATTCCTTAAGGATCGGCGTTCACCACGCGAACGCGGTCGTATGGGGACCAGTGTATAGAACGCGCCGTGCACGTTTGGCCGTCGCCTTTCATGCCTTGCGGGCACTTCCCCCCGCACTCGCCGCCAACGCACGCATCAACACACGTGTAGCTGACGCCAGGAGGTGCGTCGGGCGTGCACGTCGTGCCGGCGGAACACGGAGAGGAAGCGCACGCGTCGTCTCGCGCGCATTTCCCACTCGCGAGGGAATAATATCCGCTGGGACAGACTCCGCACTGGGCGTTACCGTTCGTCGCGTCGTCGTCGGGATCCGAGCACGTCGTGAGAGGGTCGCACCCTCCGTAGTTCACGAAGCATTCGCCCCCGCTGGTGCTCGCCCCGCACACGCGACCTCCCTCCGTGTTCACGCACGCGACGGAGTCGCCGCACCCGCCGTTGTCCTCCGAGCATTCGTTCACGTCCGCGCATCCGTTCGCAGGCGCTGTAATGTCGGGGTGGAGTTGAAAGGCGTCAGTTGGAGTTGAAAGGCGTCAGTTGGAGTTGAAAGGCGTCGAGGTCGGGGATTGAAAGCGAGGCGTGAGCGGAGAGACACGCAGGGCAAATTCCTTAAGGATCGGCGTTCACCACGCGAACGCGGTCGTATGGGGACCAGTGTATGTCCTCGCGCGATAAAACACGCACCGGAGTCGCTCGCCGGCGAGGAGACGACGCCGTTTCCAGAGTACCCTTGCGGGCACGCGCCGCAGTGGACGACACCGCCGACGCCGGGCGTGCACGACACGAGATCGGAACAGCCGCCGTTGTTGGCTTTGCACGCGTCGTCCTCCGGCGCGACGTCTTCTCCGGCGAGGATGGTGGTCGCCGTATCGATCACGTCCCTGGCACACACTTCGATTATGCCTGATGTCATATCGAGATCGGAAGAAGTTCTCGGGATCGTCCGACGTCCTACATCTGCACCGATCGCGCCGTCGTAGAAATGGTTGCCACGCTGACAATAGTCGAACGTACCCTGAGTTGTTCCCCTTTCCTGCGCAGATTCACCCGGTCTCGGGCACGGCGACATAAGGACGTTGGACTGACATTTACCCTCACGCCAAACGCACCATTTTGGTCCATCGAAATTAGGAGGACTTCTTACACTTAACGCATTGCACTTGGCCTCGTCGTCGTTGTACGTTCCGCACACCCTCTCACAACCCACTAATTGTGGTATATCGCACGAGCACAACGAGGTTACTGATATCGTCGAGGGGTCGGATTTCAGTACGCCGGCCGAGTTTTTATCCTCGCCGCCGACGATCATGTGCCCGTTGGCTTGCTCGAGCAGAGGTGCGTAAATTTCTGTGAGCAGCGGGTTTCCCACGACCATAACCCCGCCTTAACCTTTGGTCCACGCGGCGAAGCTAAATTTCGAGAGGACATCGTTGAAACGCACTTCGATGCCGTGCGCGGCGGAGTCGCCGCTCCCAACGGTCATCAACTTGTCCATGGCGAACGAAGTCAACTCGTCGTTTTCGCGCACGTGCAAGAACTCGCGGATCGATACGACGTTCGAAAAGTCCACGCTCACGAGCGCGTCCGCGTCGAGCAACTCCACGCGACCGTTAAAGGTCACGACACTGGAAAAGTCGAGTGTTTGCACGGTGCCTCCGGAGACGTAGACGTTGTCATCGATGGTCTCGTCCGTGTCGCTGTAATCGCCGCACGTGTGCCACTTCGTCGCCGGCTGCAAGTTACTGGGCTTGCACGTCGCAACGCGACACGTACACAAGCTGTTGTGATACCTCGGTATTCGACCGGGCGTGCGGCGATTTATCGCTTCGTAACCCAGGTTCACGTACTTGGTGTATTGGGTGGCGTCCGTGGCCAGCGTGCTGTAGTCGTCTGTCGTGCCATCCCCAAGTTGCCCCCTATCGTTACGGCCCCAGCATCTGATGGTGTAATAATCTGCGAGTATAGCGCACGTGTGAACTTCGCCGTTTACCAGGTACATCACCTTCTGGTCCGTCTCGTACAAATCCGCTTCCTCCGTCGACCACGTGTCGGCGGACGCCCAAGGTCCGCCGCTGATCGTCAAATCGACAATGCTCGCGGCCAGAGTCGCGTCGTCCGTGCTTTTTAACAATTTCAAGTCGACCTCCTCAGGCGTTGATGAAAACGCTGTGGAGGTGGCGATCCCGAGCTGTCCTCTATCGTTGTGACCCCAACACTTGACCGTCTCCGATTCTTTCTCGATGGCACAGAAATGTCTCGCGCTCGCCGTGCCCAAGGACAAACTTTTCGCCTTCAAGCTTGAAGTCATGCAATCGAGCTGCCCCGAGGTACAACCCACCGACACTCCCGGTGAAGATACGTCACCCGTAGCACCGTTGCCCAGTCGTCCATTATCCCCATTTCCCCAGCACATCACCTCGGTGTTATCGAGAAGTGCGCAATTGGATTCGTATCCGGCGACGATTTGAACCGCGTGACGACCACCGCCAAAGTTCACGTCATCGCGGCTCAGTATATACCCTGTAGGTGCTCCCGTACTAGTAGTATGAGGACTATTTGTATGACCGAGTTGCCCACGATTATTGCTCCCCCAACACCTCACGACTGGATTCCCGTCGTCTGAGGGTGATAAAATCGCGCACGTGTGCGACCACCCGAGCGAGACGCTCACAGGCTTGTACGTGACTACCGACTGTGAAAGCCTGCGGCCCACGCTAACTTGTGGTGCATTAAAGATAATTTTAGCCGTCGGAACATCGATGGAGTCTATAGCAGTACTCGCGGGGTCGGCTTGCTCGTCGTTATTCTTTCCCCAGCAATACAATTCATCACCCGTCGTGATCGCGCACGAGTGCTTGGCTCCGGCGACAACCTCCTTCGCCAAGAAAGGGCCTTTTGTTGCATCTGCAAATTTCACGTACGGATAGCTGTTCCCAACACCAGTCGTTGAAATCCAGTTGCAATCGGAACCACAGCCGAGTCGATTACCTGTAGACGTCTGTCTCCCCCAACACTTCACCCAGTCGTTGCTGAGGACGGCGCACGAGTGCTCGTATCCGACGGAGACGCTCTTGACGGTGAGGATCGGTCCGCCGTCTGTGCCGTCCACGGTGCCGAAGTCGCAAGTGCCGTCGGGGCCTCCTGAACCTAGCAGTTTTCCGGACCCGGCTTCACCCCAGCACGCCGCCCTGCCGTCGTCGAGCACGACGCACGTGTGCTGCAATCCCGCGCCCATGTACTGATGTTTTTCGAGCCCAGCCCCGACGGTAGGGACCGCTCCCGCGAGGACGAGGACGCACGTCGCGAGGACGAGGGCGCGCGCGACGAGCGAGCGGCGCCACACTGGTTCCCATACGACCCCGTTCGCGTGGTGAACGCCGATCCTTAAGGACTTTCTCTCCGGCGCGTCCCGACCGACTGACCGACTCGAGCGGCGCGGGGGCGACGCGCGCGAGGACTTCTTCGACGCGAACGACGCGATGGATTCGTCGTGCGCCGTTTGACGCGTCCTCGCGGCGGCGCGCGTTGGGGGCGCCGAACGCTCGCGGTGCGTCGCGCCGCCGCATGTTTCCTCCTGCCGCGCATCTCCTCGAGGGGGGTGATCTCCTCCGCGCGTCGCCTCCGCGCGTCGCCTCCGCGCGTCGTCGGAGGACATGAGGCGCGGATATCGAGCGCTCGCGCGTCGAGACCCGCGCGCGCGACGCGTGCGCTCGCTCGCCGCCGCGGGGAAGCGCGGCGACGAGTGCGCGAGCGGAGACAGGAGTCTACGATTGGGGTGTTTGACGTCACATCGACGGACAAGATCTGATCACTGCTCGCCCGCGTCTTTTCGCGCTCGCGCGAAAAGTCGCGGTTTCAAAGTCGCGGTTTTGGGGGCTGAGGGCTAGCCCTAGGGCTACAAGACCACGGCACGTGTGTCCGAACGAGACATTCATCATTCGTCGCGTCGATCTCGCGCGCGCGCGCGACTCGCGGGCACGACGCGCGTCGAAGTGGGAAGACGCGCGACCGAAGGCCGCTCCCACCGGGGCTCGCGCGCATGCGCGCGCGCCGCGCCCTCCTCGTCGCGGTCGCGATCGCGATCCTCGCGCTCGCGCGCTGCGGCGCGTCGGCGAGCGACGCGCGAGCCCCCGACGCCGTCGCAGACGTCGCAGACGTCGCGCACCGCGCGTCCGCCGCCGCCGCCGCCGCCGCCGCGTCCGCGCGCGACGACGACGACCGTCTCCCTCTCGCGCGACGACGACGACGACGACGACAGCGAGCCCCCGCGCGCGCGCTCCTCCAGGTGAACAACCCCGCGGTCGCGACCTACTGCGACTACGCGACGGCGAACTGGAGGTGCGTTCCGAGCGCGCGGTGACCCACCGCTCAGTTTCAACATTTGATCGCGTCTCGTTTCAACTGATGACCGGTGAACTTTTTTCGCGCGGCACGCCAGACGTCCCCCCGTCGTTCGCCCGTTCCTCCCTCGCCGCGACGTCACGTCAACACGTCGACATCGCGTGATGAGTCCCCTCACGACTGACCGCGATACGTTCCATCGACCGCGATACGGAGGTGCGCCGCGCTCGCCGTGACCGACGACTGCGCCGCGGAGAAGTGCTGCGTCGCGAGGTGCGATTTCATCACACTGGTTCCCATACGACCGCGTCCGCGCGGTGAACGCCGATCCTTAAGGACTTTACCTCCCGGCGTCTCTCTCCGCCCATCACCCCTCGCTTTCAAACCCGACACGCCTCGGCGCCTTTCAACTCCTCCATCTGACGCCTTTCAACTCCACCCCGATATCATCGCTCGTATGGGCAATGACCCTCAGCGCGAACTGCCTCTGGCACAACGGGACGACGTGCGCGGTGGACCACGGGCTCGTCGTCGACGCGATGTTGGAGGCGCCAGGTGAGACCACCGCCCGCTCCCCACACGACCGCGTTCGCGTCGCTGGGGAAAGTCCTTAAGGAACGGCGCGCGCCACGCGAACGGGGTCGTATGGGAAGCAGTCTCGTTCGTTTCTTAAGGACGAACGCGACGTCGTTCCTCTCTCGAGGACCGACCGCCGTCGCCGTCGCCGTCGCGTCGCGTCGCCCGCCCGCGCTCCGCCCGCCCTCGCGCCGGTCCCCGCGCGACCGACTGCGTTCGTTCGTTCGTTCGTTCGTTCGCGCGAACGGCGCACGCCGTTCCTCGAGGATGGACATTTCATTCCCGGCGCGCGTTTCGTTTCGTTTCTCTCCGCCCAGGGTGGGTCCCTCGGGTTCAACCCGCGCTCCGCTCCGTTTCATCGCGCGACCGACCGACCGACTGACCGACCGACCGACCGACCGACCGACCGAACGCCTCAGAGTTCCAAGAGGTGAAGCTCAAAGAGTTATTGTGCGCGCGCGACGGCGCGGACGAGGCGCGTCCCACACGCCGGTCCCCCCCATACGACCCGCGTTCGCGCGGCGCGACGCCGTTTCTCGACGCGCGCGACGACTTCGCCGGCGCGCGTTTCTCTCCGCCCGCCGTCGCTGTCGTCGATCCCGACGCCCCGAGACGCCTTTCAACTCCGTCCGCCGCGCCCCCGAACTCCGCCTGCCTCGACGTCTGTCTGTCGCGAACACACGCGGATGGATCCATCATCGAATCATGATTCGCTACACGTCGCCGCGTCACCGAATGCGATCTCGAACTGACCAATCAATCGCCGATCGACGCGGAAATTACGTCGTACAGAACGGCCCCGACGCGGCGACGTGCGACTCCCCCGAGCTCCCCGGGTGCGCGTGGAAGCCCGAGCGCGTGCTCCCCGGCGGCGCGGGGGTCGTCCCGGCGCGGTGCGCGCACGACGCGCTCTGGTTCATGTACGCCGAGGGAAGGTGCGTCGATACGCGAGGACGTCCTCCCTCGCGAACTCTGACTCCCTCCTCGGGCCGCGCCGCCTCGGTCGAAAGGTTTCGGTTTCGGTTTCGGTTTCGGTTTCGGTTTCGGTTTCGGTTTCGATTTGAACGAGAGTCGACCGACCGCGAAGCCCATCGACTGACCGACGCGTCGCGCGCCCGTGCCGTCCCCCTCCCACCGCCCACCCCCCACCTTCGACGACTACTGAAGTATGTGCACGAGATGCGAGGACGCGACGGGCGGCGAACGTTGCGACGGGAAGCCGGCGTGCGATTCGAAGTCGAAGTGTTGGGGCGTCGGAGCCGCGCTGGCGCGGATGTTCGAGGCGCGTTCTATACACTGGTTCCCGTACGACCGCGTTGACGTGGTGAACGCCGTTCCTTAAGGACTTTCTCTCCCGGCGCATCTCTCCGCTCATCCCTCGGTTTCAATCCCCGCCCTCGACGCCTTTCAACTCCACCTGACGCCTTTGAACTCCACCCCGACGTTCGCTCGATTCAGGCGCGCGGCGACGCGGTCGACGACGTCGTGGCCGCGGCGACGCGGTCGGGCGCGCCGCCGACCGCGGAGTTCGTTCGCGCGCTGAGGCGGGAGGTCGAGACGTCGGGGAGCGCGGCGGCGGGGAGGGTCGGGGGGGGGCGGTTTTGGTGAGCAGACCGCGTCGCGCGCTTTTCACACTGGTTCCCATACGACCGCGTTCGCGTGGTGAACGCCGATCCTTAAGGACTTTACTTCCCGGCGGGCGGAGTTTCTCCTCTCTTCTCTTCTCTTCGCCCGCCGCGCTTCCCTTTCAACGTACCGCACGTTCGACCGGTACGACGTTTCGTTTCACTGACTGACGCACGCGCACCCGCGCCCGCGATCAATCCGCCCGTCGTATAGGACCGCGATCGCGGCGTCGCTCGCCGTCGCGGCGCTGACATATCCTTAAGGATAACAGCGAATCTGCTGACGCGCTGATGTCTTCTCATCACCCCGCGCGGAAGATATAGAACGGCCCGGAGTCGACGATCTTCGCGAGGAGGCGGACGAAAGTTGGCACGCCGCCGCGCTCGCCCCCGCGCGGCGGCGACCGGTGCGCGCCCGAGGACGCGAGGGTTCTTCGCGCGGGCTCGAGCTGGGGCTGCTCAAAAAATGGAACTCGCGCTCAAAAAAAATATTGCATCCACGCGGCCGCGAGGGAAGGACGACTCGAAGTGTTGAAATTTTTGCGGGACGTGGCGAAGTATCCGTCGGATAGGTCCATGTCTCGTCTGTCCGGTCCATGGGGTCCTCTCGGCACTATTACTCAAACCGAAGTTTCCCCTTACTTCGGGCACAGTACCTTTAAATATCATTTTGATCCCTGTCAAGCCGCCGCTAAGAACGGTCACCTCGAGGTCATACGATGGCTCCTGGCGAACAAGTGTCCGTGGGACGTGACGACAGTCGGAAACGGCGCGGCGAAGCACGGGCACCTGAAAGTGCTTCAGTTCGCCATCGAAAAAGGCTTCCACCCGGACGAAAGCACGTGCGCTGCCGTCGCCTCCAAAGGCAACTTACGGATGCTGAAATGGCTGCGGAAGCAAAACTGCCCATGGAACAGAGAAACTTGTGATCAAGCCGCTAACAAAGGTCACTTGTTCGTGTTGCAGTGGGCGGCTGAAAACGGCTGTCCCGTGGACGCGACGACAACGCAAGCGGCGGCTTCCGGCGTGCATTTGGAGCCGCTTCGATGGCTGGTCGAGCGTGGCTGTCCATGGAACGTTGAGATATGTAACTCAATCGTTGACAGATGGAAATGCTTGAACAATCCGAAACACGTGGAGAAAATCAAGGAGTGGATGTACTGGCGGCTGGCGAAGGAGCGCGGATGCCCCGAACGCGACGTCCCCGCGCGAACCGACGCGGCGGCGTGAGATCGAGACGAACGAGCCGACGACGAGAACGCGCGAACGCGCGCACGATAATAATACACCACGCCACGCGCTACCCCTGTCTCCGCTCCTCCCTGAGCTGCGCCAACAGCGTCGCCATCATCCCCTTCAGCTCCTCGTCGTCCTTCCCTCCCGCCCCCCCCGCCCCGCCGCCGCCGCCGCGCGTCCCGCCCTCCGTGACGCCGTCCGCGGCGACGCCGTCGAACCCCATCTGCTTCGCGACGTGCTCCAGCACGTCGCTCCCTTTCGCGGGGACGGACGGCTTATCGCGCAACATGCGCTGGAACAAATCGTCGCTCGCGTCTTGCAGCGCGACGACTTCTTCGCCGACGCCGTCGGCGTTGGCGAACGCGGAGAGGTCAGCGAGGTCCACGACTCCCGCGCTCGTCGCCTTCGTCTGCCCCGCCGCGATCGCGCCCGCGTTGATCGCGACGCCCGCGGCGTCGTCGTCCGGGCTCAGCCGCGGCGCCGCCTTCAGCGCGGCCTCGAAGTCGTCGTAGATGCTCTTCGCGCCCGGCGCGGGAGCGTTCGCGCGCAGGTACGCGCCGTCCTCGAGCTTGCTCGCGAGATCTCTGACGCGCCGATCGAGCGAGGTGGCGTCGTCGTCCTCGACGGCGGTCAGCGGCGGCGGCGGCGGTGGTTTCTCGCCGCTCATGGCGCGGGGCGGCGGCGACGCGGCGGCGACGGCGGCGGCGGAGCGCGGGCGTCTATCGGCGGGCGAGGCGCGCGTGCCGCGCGCGTCGAAGGAGTGGCGGATAGGGAATCACGTCGTGAGTCAGCGCGCGAGCGAGACGACGTACGCGATGAGTCGTACTGAGGAAACTCGCTTCTCATCGGACGCGCCGCCGCATTCCGCGTTCGCGCGCCGCTCGGTCCGTCCTTCCTCGCACGTCGCGATGAGCGAGCACGGGGAGAAGCGCCCGCCCGCGGACGACTGGGACCGCGGCAAGAAATCGAAGAAGAAGCGCCAGAGGAACGGCGGGAAGGTGCGACCGAACGCGACGCGCGCGACGCGATCCGCCGACGCTTTTTTCTCTCGCCGCCGCCGCCGACTTTTTCCTCGCGGCGGGCGTCGCGCTCCGTCCCATCCCATCCGTCGTCCGTCCGTCCGTCCATCCATCCATCCGCCGACGCCTCCTTTTCCTCCTCCTCCTCCTCCTCCTCCTCCTCCTCCTCGTCAGTACGGCGACGTCTTCCCCGGGCAAGAGCGCCGCCGCGAGATCGACGTCGCGTGCGCGAACGGCGACGTCGACGCCGCGTTCGCCGCGTTCGACGCCGCCGTCGATGCGGACGAACCGCTGCAGCCGCACACGTGCAACGTGCTGTTGCACCTCGCGTCCGGCGGCGTCGCCGGGGGAGGGCACGCGCACAAGGGGAAGAGCGCGGCGGCGGCGGCGGCGGGAAGCGAGGGCGGCGGCGATGGCGGCGGCGGCGGCGACGGCGGCGACGGCGCCGCCGCCGCCGCGGACGCGCACGCGAAGATCGTCGTCCCCGCGAGAGACGCCGTGCACCCCGCGCGCGCGCAGGCGGTCTTCGATCACATGGCGAAGAAAGACATCCCGCGGACGGAGATGTCGTACACCGCGCTCGCGCGGGTGAGAGCCGCGTGCGGCGACGCGGAGGGCGCGTTCGAGCTCGCGAATACGGTGGAGTCGGAACCGCGACTGGCGCCCAAGTTGCGGACGTTCGCGCCCGCGTTGCACGCGTTCGCCATCGCCGGCGAGGTACGCGCGCCGCACGCACGAATCACGCGCTGCCACGTGTACAATCCCGCCTCTTCTCCGCGTGCATCGCATCACGTCGACCACTCGTTCGTCCACGTCATCACTCACCCCGCGCCGATCGTTGTCCGACGAACGAAACACAGGTTGACCGCGCGTTCGCCGTCGACGCCGCCGTCCGCGCCGCCGCGGGCGGGACCATCGAGATCGGCGAGGCCGAGTTCGCGGTCGTACTCGACGCGCTGCGCGCCAAAGAACGTTGGGACGACGGCCTGGCGTGGCTGCGCCGGTGCGCGGACGAGGTGCGGACGTTGGGGGAGGGCCTCTCGGCGGCGGCGGCGGCGTTTTTTAAAGGTGCGTTCTATACACTGGTCCCCATACGACCGCGTTCGCGTGGTGAACGCCGATCCTTAAGGACTTTGCCCGGCGCGTCTCTCCGCCCACCCCCCGCTTTCAATCCCCGTCCTTGGCGCCTTTCAACTCCAACTGACGCCTTTGAACTCCACCCCGACATCGCTTTGTATGGAACGACCCTAAAGCCGCGCCGGGCTGGCGTTTCTGCGACGCGGGCGCCGTCGAGACGGACGAGACCACCGGCGCGATCGTCGCCACGGTCGACGACGTCGGGACCAAACGCAACATCCAGCTCGTCGCGATGAACCTATCCGCGGAAGACCGCGCGTCGCTGCTCGCGGGGATCGGCAAGCTCGCGAGGGAGCGAGAGGCTGGGGGCAATTTCGACGGCTTCGTCGGGTGGCTGCGGCGGCGCGGCCCTCTGCCGTTTTTAGTCGACGGCGCGAACGTCGGGATGTACAACCAGAACTTCAGCGAGTCGCGGTTTAACTTTCAGCAGGTGGAGAAGGTCATGGATCGTCTGAGGCCGCGCGCGGCGGCGACCGCGGCGAGCAGGGGCGCGGCGTTGGGGGGGAGCGTCGACGACGACGCCGACGCGGCGGCGGCGCCGGCGGTGGAAGCGGAAGCGGAAGCGGACGTAGACGCGCCGCCGGCGGCGGAAGCGGACGCGGACGCGGACGCCGCCGAGGAGACGAAAGCGCCCGAGACCGCCGACGCTCCCGTCGACCCCGCGCGAGTGGACGCGGACCTCGCGGCGCTCCTCGCGACGCGCCCCGGGTCCGCGGTCCCCGTCAACTTCCTCCACGTCAGACGCGTCAAAGGCGGCCCCGCCAATCACCACAGGTCCAAACAGATCGTCGACCGGTGGAAGCGCGCGGGGGAGCTGTTCACGACGCCCGCGGGAAGCAACGACGACTGGTACTGGCTCTACGCCGCGGTCGCGTCCGGGGACGACGCGTTCCTCGTCTCGAACGACGAGATGCGCGACCACGTGTTTCAGATGTTGCCGTCGCCGAAGCTCTTCGCGCGGTGGAAGGAGCGGCATCAGGCGCGTTCGTATTCACACCGGTTCCCATACGACCGCGTTCGCGTTGTGAACTTCATTCCTTAAGGACTTTATCTCCCGGCGTTCGTTTATCTCCGCCCACCCTCGGTTTCAATCCCGACACACCGCGCGCGCCGCCTTTCAACTCCTCCAACTGACGCCTCTCGACTCCGCCCCGACGTCGCTTCGCGTGGGTTGCGACCCTCAGTGCCGGTTTCACATGTCCTCCGCGACGGGTCTGGAGGTGTACTACCCGCCCGCGTTCAGCGCGCAGACGCAGGAGGGGAAGGACAGGGCGTGGTGGGCGTTTCCGTTGGACGACGGGACGTGGACGTGCGCGGTGAGGGAGGCGGCGTGACGCGGCGGCNNCNNCTCTTCTTTCNNCCNCNNCCCCNGGTNGACNGCNCCCGACGCGCCGCGTCCCNNCGGCGTCTCCGACTCGTCCACGCGCAGAGATTCGAACGCGAGCGTCGGCACCTCCGGGACGGGCACCAGCGCGGCCATGTTCGTGTGCTCCCTTCCTATCGTCCCGTGGACGTGCGGCGGAACGGTCGCGGTCGCCTTGGCGCGTTTCTCCGCGTCCGCCGCCCACGGCGCCGCGACGGGGTTGGCCGCGAGCGCGACCCACGCGAGCGCGTCGTGGTTCGCGAGCCACTCCGGGACGGACGTCAGCTCGTTGTCCGCGATGCGCAGGAGCTCGAGCTGGCGGAGATTTTTCTGTGACGCGCGGAGACGATCGATGCGCGGGCGGGGGAGGGGTCAGGGGACGC